CGTTCACACTTATAACACGGGATCACACGAGCACACGCAAGCGCGGCACGCGCCGACACAACGACTCAAGTTGCCACCGCCGTGCGCGCGAGATAAACCGTACAACAATGCGCAGCCGATTACGCGCTCGAGCCGCGGGGCTGGGGGTCAGGAACTCACCACCGCGCCGCACTTTACGCACGTAACGAGCACACGCAAGCGGGGCACACGCCGACACAACGACTCAAGTTGCCGCCGCCGTGCGCGCGAGATAAACCGTACAACAATGCGCAGCCGATTACGCGCTCGAGCACACGCAAGCTCGCACAAAGCTAACAGCTTCATTGCGCACCGCGGTTTCGCACACGCGAGCGGGGTGCACGCCGACACGACGACTCGTCCCCTCCCGCACTCGCGCGTGCACGTCAACACAAGTATCGTGCAAGGACGATTCTCCTCTCACACGGCTGCGTAGGCACGCCAACACACAAAAGTGCTCTCCCCGGGCGTTAACACACACACCTCCGTACCCGCACCATCGTACAGAGACCACGGCCTTTACGCATACAACGACCACACACCCGCGAATGCAGTGCACGCTAATACCACGTTCAAAACACCCAACAACACGGTTTTGTTACTACGCTCGAGATTTTATTAACCCTTGTTAACTCACCGAGCCACCCGTGTGTGTGTACGAGCCAGCAAGGCGCTTCCAACCCACTCTCTAGTGGCGTGCAGCCCTATTCTATGCTGCGCTCTCTGTTACACCGCTTTCCTACTCGTCCTTACCCCGAACTAACCTTCTCCTACGGATCCTACTCTCCGCTCTGAGGTGTTGTAAGGCGCGTAATACGATACCGTCTGTAGTCCTAGGTGACCTTGCGGCGCTCAGGTCGTCCTGCAGACGATCCTGCGGCTCGCCCGATGACTCCCTCGTCGTTGACCCCGTGTCACTACTCCCGAAGAAGAGAGTTCCCTACTGCCCCTGCGTTTTCTTTTAAACTATCCACATCAAAGGCTAGGCGCCCCCGTCCCGACCGCCTTGGTCTCTCGACCAATCCTGAGCCCAGGATTTCCCGCCCTTTTGCGATCCCGCCGGCCTTTGACCTTTTGGCTAATCAGCAGCCCCGGGTCCTGATCCTAGCTATCTGCCTTGCTGACCCGTGTTTGTGTTTGTATGCGTTTCTAACTGCGGGGCTCTCTGAGCTCGCCGTGGTCGTGCGATCTCAAATCCGCCCATGGCGCCGCAGTGTTACTTAGCCTGGGAAGGGTCCTGTCCAATTCCCTGGCCCTGAGAAACCGTGGGGTAACCCCCCGAGGGGGCCCTCGGGTGAAAACTCAGGGTAGGTGACCCGACCACAAGGCCCTACGTGGGTGCGGGTGCGTGCTTTTGTGGGGGGGGGTGATGGGGGGCAGTGCAGTGGTGGAAGCCGGGCGTCTCCCTGGTTCGGCAGAGCGGCCCCGTCGTTGTGGCACCACATACTCACAGACTCAAATAGATACACAAATACTCACACTCTCACACATACTCACAAAAGACACTGACATATAAATGTGGCCTCCTCCTCCCCCCATCGAAATTTTTTGCCCTTAGCGGTGAGCGCGTATAGTGGTTTAGCGATTGTCGCAAACTTTGGTACGAACCGGCGATAGTATGACGCAAACCCGACAAAACTGCGGACTTCACCCACCGATGTGGGGGTAGGCCATATGCGCACACACGCAGTTTTGTCGGGATCCGTGGTTATGCCGGACTCGCTGACAATACGTCTGCAAAGATGATACTTCTGTGGCTTGAATTTAAGTTTGTCCGCCACACCCTGACAAACACCGACCACAACTGCAGCAGTTGCTCCTGGAACTTGCGCCCTAACACAATTACGTCATTCAAATAAATGAGGCACGAGTCCCATTGAAGACCTGCTAAGACTAGCTCCATAAGCCGGTGAAATGTGGGCAGAACAGAGTGAAGACCCATCGGAAGACAGTTGCATTGGAACAACCCCTGGGGTGTTCGGAACGTAGTTTTAGGCTTGGATCCTTCATTCAAGGGGAATTGCCAAAACCCTTACAGCAAGTCGATGGTTGAGAAAAAACGCGCACCCAACAAGTCGCCCATTGAATTGTCCATCTGTGAGAGTGGATACGCATCCACAATTGAGACTTTATTTAATTTACGAAAATTCACACAAAAACGAAAACTCCCATCCTGCTTTTTAACCAGGACAATGGGAGCCCCCACGGACTGGTGGAAGGGGAACTAATGTTGGCAGCCAACACTTTGTCGACTGCCTGGCGAACATGGTCCTTTTCTTTGGGACTGAGCTTATATGAATTTTGACGTATTGGAGCGGCGTTACCCGTATTGATAAGGTGCTGCAATAGTGATGTGCGGCCAATATCATATATCCCTTGACTAAAAATATCAGCGAATTATTGGAGCAATGCACGCAACTCGCCCTGCTGCTCTCCGGACAACTTAGAATTTTCTCTACACAGCGCGTCCATCCAAGCCTCATTTGACTTGCCTCCCAGCTCCACCACGGAAATTACCTCTATGGCTTTCTCGGCGGCCTCCTCACAACACAAGGCCATAACGTGGGCTAAAACTGTACCAGCTTGGACCACCGCGACTCCCAGCCCGACTTTCAACAATTTCAAAAAGGGCTCCCTGACTATCGTTTGGGCCGCCACCAACGCGACCCCGAATCGCCCTGTTCGAAGGGGTTATAAGGACCCCTCCAACGGTGTCTGCGTGATCAAGCTGCTTCCGCAGCTGCAAGGGCACCAACATCTGAGCACCTAGAGGGACCATGACAGTCTCCTTCACTAGGGCCTGAATCGTGGTGTTGGGTCTCTTCACTTGAGTCGGGGACTTCAAAAAGGCCAACCGCCATCCTGAAGGAAATTCAATACACCCTTGATCCACGAGGATCTTAAGGGGCATCCTGCCAAGAAAATCGGTGCCCAAGAGAAACGACACATCCAATGTCTTAGAAACTAACACTGGCCCTGTCAACTCAATGTCCCCAATGCGGACTTTCACCAATATTTGGCCTAGAATACCCAAACTCCCGCCATTCGCGGCAACACATGTGAAGTATTGGAAATGACGGCAGGAACTTCTTGACGGGTAACACACTTTTATTAAATCTTGTCGTGTCACAATACAACGTGTGGTCTCTATTCTTTTGACTATACACTCCACTTAACTCGTGTAGACGCTATGCCTCTGGCTACACACAATGCACTTGACTCGTGTAGACCCTATGCCTCTGGCTACACACCATGCATTCGACTCGTGTAGACCCTATGCCTATGGCTACACACCATGCATTCGACTCGTGTAGACCCTATGCCTATGGCTACACACAATGCATTCGCCTCTGGGTTACACAGAGTCCCGGTCCCATTAGGACAGCGGGACTAGGTACCGCAGGGCCCTATCTCTTCATCCCCGTCTTCATTCTTCGCTGGTTACATACTGCCTTTACGCCTGTGTGCATCCCCTTTTATAGCCCCTGCTCACGGGAGACGGAGCTGATGCGGACGTCGACATGAGCATCGCTCCTTAGTTAACCAATGACGACGCGCTATCTCTACGATCCGTTTTCCCCAGCGCATGTTAACACTACTCAACCAATCACACCGCGCTGCCACCCGATCACTCCCTCTCAGCGCGTCACCGGCACACAGCCAATCAGCACCACGTAACCCACGACCCCGCGCTGACCCCTGATCCTCCACCGTCAGCGCGCGTCACCACATACACAGCCAATCACTACGCGCTGGCACACGATCCCTACCACAGCGCATATCACCACTACACATGCACTATTCACCGCATTAAGACAACAAGACCTTGGTGGCAAAGACTTAAAAATAGCTCGGAAATTATACTAGCCGACTCTCCCGTATCAATCAGCACACTCAGCTCTACTCCCTGCACGAACCCGACCACCGCGAATGATCCCAACCCCGCCGCCACAACATGGTGCGCCATCGCCGTCCACTGCCCCAAGCCCCACACCCCACAGCCACCTGTCATACACCAAGCTCTAAAGGCTAATGGTTAATCCGACTATACAATCCGCAAAGCCATCACTCCAACCATGAAGAAGGACCCTCTTGAGGAGCCATTCAAAACCATCACCTTATCCTACATTGCGGGGATCACAAAAAAGAGCTCCAAAATCTTGAACAAACACAAGATCCAGGTCCGATTCAACACATTACATAAAATCCGTGATCTGGTTCCGTCTGTAAAAGATGTGATTACGGACATACAGTACCCTGGCGTCTACAAACTGAGTTGCCTCTGTGGTAGTAGTTACATTGGAGAAACCAATAGACATATCTCTGACCGCATCCGTGAGCACAAATCAGACCTAAAACACGGTAGGACCAACACCTCGGCCGTGGCAGATCACTGTTATAATTCAGTGGGCTCACATGACATTGACTTCTCCAAGACAGAGGTTCTCTGCAAGCCATCTGGCTACCATGAGAGATTCGTTCATGAGGCTATCCACATATACAAACACAGAGACAATTTCAACCGAGAAAATAGATTCTGGCTTAGCAATCATTGGAAGGATTTGATAAACCATTTTATGTCTTAATTGAATGTGTTCACGCTTGCGGTGACTTTCAGACCGCATTCCATTTTCTTCTCCCCCCTCCTCTTTTCCGAACATAGATGGACTCGTCCATCTGGCCAACTGCCAAATCGCTGTCCGTGATGCTGACGTTGGGAAAAAACCGCCACTTTTTTCAAATTTTCTTGCTGTGGATTTCACACCTGATGATGATTGCTTGTGTTGCAGTCGAAACGTCGTGAGAATTTTTATTGTTTTATATTTTTATTATTTTATTATTTCCCTTCTACGTGACTTTACCGAAAGAACCAAGAATATGAATCCCTGCAGTCACGAAAGCTTTAAATACATTTTTTAAAGAATTTAGTTTAAAGTGTAATTACTAGATGAATATATCACACTGCTGTGTCTGTGTCCCAGATCTCATCGCAGCCCGGGATGATGAAGGAATTACGTTGCCGCTCGATCGAAAACATCGAGCAATCAAATTTAGCCCCCAACAGAGTCGCATCGTCAATGGCGAGGAGGCGACGCCCAACAGCTGGCCCTGGCAGGTGAGAGCGGCTCCCCAAAACCGCGAGTGTCGTTTCTCATGCGACGGCGGTAAAGATGCAATGTGTCCGTCGTGAATATACAGTCTGTTCTCCTGTAACACGGCATGTTGTTTTCATCACGTGAATTGGATATAACGCGATTCATGTGTTAGGGAATACATTTTTTGTTTTAACTCAGATTCGAATTGGATATAACGCGATTGAGTTAACAGAACTAATGCCCCGTGAGTTAGGACTAAGCAGTTGTAACGGCATAGCATGATCGCACAAGGCATTGGGAAGATGCCGGATGATGCTTCTAGATGCTACCAAAGTGCCTGCATACCCATCTCATGTGTTATCACGTATGTGCTTTCCCTCCCTCTACAATTTCTTATTTTTATAACACGATTTTTCCATAGCGTGGTGTTCTTCAGGAACGCAACTACTACTGCATTATATGAGAAGTGACTGTATCCAGAAAAAAATAACTTCATTATAATCCAGCTCTCCGAGTTCAAACCAGTCTCTTCAAACTGAATATGGCCTATCTACTCTTTTCAAGATCGTTTATGTAGCCCTAACAAGAAGGATACAAACATTGTGAATCAGAGTGGAATCTCTTAACAATTTTAAGCACGACTTTGTCCTCAGAAATATTTGGTGAGTGACAGATTAGTTATGTTTAAAGCCAAACAATGAGACATCACCTGGCATTTGTGGTGTTGTGACTTAATACTGTCCCACCTGTTCCCCACTGGACCCTCTTTCAATTACATTAGACTCTCGATTATCCGCACGAATGACGGTGAGGACGGCCATGGATAATTCTAAATTGTGGATCAATTTTCCGTGGATTTCGATGCCAAAAACCACTAATATATTGTGTTTAAGTTAATCAAATTGAGTTTGTTAATAAACAAAACTAATAATTGTAGGAAATAATGTCGTGGCTTGGGATAGCGGAACCACGCCAATCAAAATAAATCAAACTTCACCCGCTTTTGTAAATATATGCAACTACTGTACTGTAGAGGCGATCACATGGCTTTCGGATTAACCGGAGCACATATTTGTTCGATTTAAGCACGTGACTTGTAACAAATATTTCAGAGAATAACAATGCATAGCTTTTTATTATTAATTTGGGGTTAAGGCAACATCCATGGATGATACATTTATGTAAAAAAAATCTCAGGTGCGCGGTTAGTCCACAAATTGGATAATCCGCACACGAATAATCAAGAGTCAACTGTACGTTTCTTAAGGTGAACTTTGTTCCCTCCACCTTAGAAGTGTTCCATGCCCACAAACTGGCGTAACTCCCTTTCGTAAGAATCCGGGTCTTCATCCAGATGTCTTCAGTAACTTCAATCCTTTCTCTAATTTTCCTTTATTGTCTAAGGTTCTGGAGGATACCTGTGGCAAAGCAGGCTCCAGCAACATCCAACCTTGACTCCATTTCAATCAAGATTTAGATTTTAGCAGAGTGCAGAGAATGCTTTGATCGGGTGGTATATAACCCTTTGAACTCTGCAGACGAGGGTTTTTCAAGCGTTATTGCCGTTCTTCATCTTAGTGGTGCCTTTTATTTGTATGTTCATGTGTATGTTGCACTTCCTTTGCACTGCACATAGCTAACCCTGCTAATCTGGAGTGCAGGCGAAACACAACAAACAATGGGTCTTTGTGTGAGTCTATGGGTCTCTATAATCCATAATAGAGGTTTTTGGGTTAGATCGCGTAAATATATAAATGTGTCGTTAAAACCCGCCACCACCCAACACAACTAACTAGTAAGGTTTGTCACGTAAACAGAACATGCCAAATCGTCACTAGTACAGCACACCGGTGTGTTGGAGAGCCAAGCCACGACATTTACAAACTGAGTACAAAGTTTCGCCAGTAATTACAACTAGCTTCATCAGGCGACAGCCAGATTTGTGGAGAAGTCCACCTGTTTCGTTCCTTATATAGAGGCGTATATGTGTTGATCACCCTTCGGGGCTCTTGCACAATGTGAGGGGGGGAGGGGATTACTGAGGCAACGTACATTATGCATTTACATTATGCGAGCCCTTTGAACTTGTCCTTCTTGTCTATTGTGTTTATTAAAATAGCCTTACCAACGGTAATCCCTATTGAAGTACGCTGCCCTTTGTAGGCATGCATTTAAATAATGTATGATTTGATTATTCGCTTCCACGCAGCACTAAGACTGTAGCTATCCGATTAAAGTTATTTTGATGTCTTTCAATTTCGAAAGATTATCTAATTAGTCTTGGCCAGTAGTAGCTAGTTTTGCACAAAACTTCTACATTATCTGCTGACAGTTGCATTTGGGATAATTTAATATTTCTCTGATGTTCTTTTAGTCTCGTGCTGATCATTGGTCCTGTTTGCCCAACATAACATTTACCACACTGGCAGTTAGTCCTGTACACACCTTCTGTTGATAGCTTCGGTCATGCCAAATCTGACTCGGTTGTTTTGTTTTTCCAAACATCTGGCTAGTTTATCAGTTATTCCCACAATGTTCGATATTTTTTAAATTTTAATTACTTGGGCTGTTTCAATGCTCTTGTTATTTGATTAAGTTTTGGTATTCAATGCCCTTTTGATTTGTGCATTCTTGTAACCGTTTATTTGCAGTGCTTATTTAATATGTGGAATTTTACTTCTCAGATTGTCACCATCTGACACTTTCTTAGCTCGATAAATGAGCGTCTTGATAAGAGCCGATTTCTGTGCGGGGTGATGGTGTGACTCTGCATTCAGATAGGCGTCAGAATGCGTTTTCTTTCGGTAAACACTGTGTGTTATTTTACCATTTCTACCCCGTCCGAGCAGAATATCCAGAAATGGTAGAGTTCTGTCAGCTTCCACTTCCATGGTGAACTGGATGGATGGGTTTTGCGAGTTGAGATGATTAAGACATGCGTTCAGTGTATCTTTGCCGTGTGGCCAGACAACCTATGTGTCATCTACATATCTAAACAAGCAGATGGTTTTAGTGTGCTTGAAGCTATTGCTTTTGTTTCAAAATCTTCCATGTACAAATTCGCTATCACAGGAGACAAAGGAGAGCCCATTGCTGCTTCTTCCTTTTGTTAATAGAAGTTACCTTGCCACAATAAGTAAGTGTTATTTAGACAGTGTTCAGCTAGTCTTCGGATATCTTTGGCTAAACCTTTGTTCGTTACCAGAGTGTCAGGTAATTTAATTGACTTGTTAACCGGAACCCTTGTGAACAGAGATGTCACATCAAAACTTACGAGAATATCATTAGGATTAAGCTGTGTGAGTCTATGGGTCTCTGTGTGAGTCTCTGTGATGCTATATCTTAACTTGTAAAGCGCTCCATAACACAGTTTTAAACGGTGAATGGGACGAAATAAAATAAAGTTCGGGTGATAAGCAACATCATTATTATTATACAAGCTTGAGAAGATAGACAATACATCTTTGAATTCCTAAATTGAGCAGTGAGAGGGGGAGAAACCAAAAGATAAAGTTTGGCGACCTGAAATTTTGGGCATTGAAGACAGGTTTTGGTGACATCGACAAAAATCAACGTACGCCGAAAATCATCCTGACATGCAAAGCGTGCGCCATGGCTTGCGCACTCTGCCTTTGTGATGTAAAAAAAAGCTTCCGTGCGATGCTGTGATATCACCACAGATCCGGCTGTATTCGTATCCTGATCAATCTTCCGCTGCTCTCGGTGCTCTGGGCTACGCGTGTGGAGGCTTTCTCGTCAACGGCGACTGGGTAATGACGGCCGCCCATTGCATACGGTGAGTGTATCGTCCCTTGTGGGTGATGACCACTGCCCATTGCATTCAGTGAGTATCTCGCCTCTTGTGGGTGATGACCACTGCCCATTGCATTCAGTGAGTATCTCGCCTCTTGTGGGTGATGACCACTGCCCATTGCATTCAATGATTGTCTCGTCCCTTGTGGGTTATGACTACTGCCCATTGCATTCAGTGATTGTCTCGTCCCTTGTGGGTGATGAGTACTGCCCATTGGATTCAGTGAGTGCCTCGTCCCTTGTGGGTGATGACCACTGCCCATTGCATTCAGTGTCTCGTCCCTTGTGGGTGATGACCACTGCCCATTGCATTCAGTGAGTGTCTCGCCCCTTGCTGGTGATGACCACTGCCCATTGCATTCAGTGAGTGTCTCGTCCCTTGTGGGTGATGACCACTGCCCATTGCATTCATTGTCTCGTCCCTTGTGGGTGATGACCACTGCCCATTGCATTCAGTGAGTGTCTCGCCCCTTGCTGGTGATGACCACTGCCCATTGCATTCAGTGAGTGTCTCGTCCCTTGTGGGTGATGACCACTGCCCATTGCATTCAGTGTCTCGTCCCTTGCGGGTGATGACCACTGCCCATTGCATTCAGTGAGTGTCTCGCCCCTTGCTGGTGATGACCACTGCCCATTGCATTCAGTGAGTGTCTTGTCCCTTGTGGGTGATGACCACTGCCCATTGCATTCAGTGAGTGTCTCACCCCTTGTGGGTGATGACCACTGCCCATTGCATTCAGTGAGTGTCTCGCCCCTTGCGGGTGATGACCACTGCCCATTGCATTCAGTGAGTGTCCCGTCCCTTGCTGGTGATGACCACTGCCCATTGCATTCAGTGAGTGTCTCGCCCCTTGCGGGTGATGACCACTGCCCATTGCATTCAGTGAGTGTCTCGTCCCTTGCTGGTGATGACCACTGCCTATTGCATTCAGTGAGTGTCTCGCCCCTTGCGGGTGATGACCACTGCCGATTGCATTCAGTGAGTGTCTCGTCCCTTGCTGGTGATGACCACTGCCCATTGCATTCAGTGAGTGTCTCGTCACTTGTGGGTGATGACCACTGCCCATTGCATTCAGTGAGTGCCTCACCCCTTGTGGGTGATGACCACTGCCCATTGCATTCAGTGACCCATCTACACAGCCCCATCGTCGGCGTCTAACTTTCTAGCTGGTTGACTAATATAGTGACGACGACGATGGGAGCCGTGCAGAGGATCGGCAATGCGGCCGGATGGTGAAGAGAGATGATGGCGAAGACAGCGACGGCAGCCAGGACCCGGACCCCACGACAGCCCTGAACCTTCGGTCACATCACCCTTATATAGTTCCCGGCGTGGCCATGCCACGCCTCCGGCCACGCCTCCTTCTAGAACCTTTCCCGGAGCTTCCCGACTAACCACGCCTTTTACCCTGGACTAGTTATGACCCCCTTCTAGTTGGTTATTATATAACGCACCCATTCTCGTGATTATCCCTCCTGGTCAACAGATGCCACCCTGTCATTACATATGTACGTCCTGCCGTCTTTGGGTGCAAAAATCGCAATAGCTGTTATTGGCTGCTCACAGTTAATCACTATCGACGAACGGTGACCTGTATAGGCATCGAGTGAAACGGTGTGGTATTACTTGATAATACGCTTCCAAGCGGCACTAAGCCTGCAGCTATGAGACCGGTTCCAATTATGTTTTATGTTTTTTTACGTGACCTGCTGCTGCTGCCGCTCAATGTCTCCCACAGTGCTAATAACTCCGAGGTCGTGTATCTGGGCAAACACGATCTCAGGATTTCTGAATCCGGACAAATCTGCTTGCAAGGCAAGAACAAATACATCCACCCCAGTTGGAATGGAGACGCATCGAATGGGTACGGAGCCCTTTCGTCAATCCACCGCTGGATGAGGGCCTCCTCACCACACACACCATGCGGGTCACTGGGGTTGCTTGACCACAAATTAACCATGCCGGTTGGTGGAGGCAGGAAACGTAGATCGGTGGTTCTCCCCGCCCCTTATGGGAAACATGAGAAAGTTTGCGTAGCGATTTGTAAATTGATTGGTAATCATTTATTTATTATTCTACCACCCAGTGTCTGCAGTCAGTTAGTAGTTGGGGGTTTTAAGTGCCCACTGCGTTGCGTTGGGCTTCTGTTTGCCAGTGAGATGTGCAGACAAAGTCTCTCTCCCTCGCTCCCGTGCATTGTCCCTCTGCAATATAGGTGATCAGTTTAAATCAATGACAAAGATCCCCAGTATAGCCTTAATACTGTTGGGGCAAGTGCTGTTAGCGAGTAGCACCTATAAAAGCTAGCACAGCACACGAGGGGGTGGGTGGCCAGCCCCACGCTTGGCTGCTGATGTTTACACACTGCGCCAGGTACTCATTTGAGGGCTGAGTCGACCTAGGGTAGGCCCAGTACCGGTTCAGACAATCGTCACTGGTGCTGGTGGCCTTGAACGGGAATCGAACTCAGGTTGCCAGGTCCCATAGCGTAGCGTGCTAACAGCTACCCCACCGTTCGTGACAAGCAGTTTACACATCCCATCAGCACCGATGGTCTTCGAGATCAGTGGTCATTCTCAATCTTTTTTTGTTTACTGCTGTAGTACCCTCCTTGTTGAACTCGTGTTTCCACCGAGTAATCCCCTTGCATGACCCAACATGGTTCTGAGAAATATAAATGTATGAATAATGAACATCAATATTTTAAACAAATTGTTCATTTTGTGAGGTCATCTTAACTAGCTAGTTAACCGCAAGCGAATGCAAAAAAATTCAACGAACGCTCAGCACGCATGACGTAATGAGTTTGCGCTCGCTGTTTACCCTTGTAAAACAACACATTGTTTAAGATCAATTAGTCTGGAAAGGTCTTTTATATCTTTATAGGTTACCATATGTATTTACATTTGATCGTAGTTATTTAATTTTGCCAGATTCACGCATGATTATTCAATCAATGCCTCTCATGTATGATATAATTGCACACATTTGTAGTGTCGTCTGTGCGTGCGGGTGGCGTGCGACACACACAGTGAGCAGGAGACGAGGTGGTCGCAGGAGGCACCGCTCTGTCCTCTTTTATTGTTGTTGCCAACCTCACACCACCACTCGGGCCCCCTCTCTTTCTCACACACGACCCCGCTGCCGCGCGCCCCATCCCAGACACGACCCTGTGCGCGTTGCACCGACGGCGTCAACCGGGACAGCCAACTACTGTCCATCCGCGTAATGATCAGGCGAAGGTGGCAGCGATGAGACCAACGATGGTGACAGCGGCGACGGGACGAGTCCACTCCCAGAACAAGCAGCCCAGAGCTCCCGCTCCCCGCTGCTTTTATTCCCCTCCGATTGGCTTGGCTCTGCCCTAACCGCGCCTCCGTTCTCGAACCCTCCCGCGTATATGCTCAGCGGCGTGTACGCTAAGTGCCCATCTGCAGTTGCTATTGCTTTCAAACAGTCAGCGCTATGTCACTACACATTTATAAATCACCTCATGTTACCCCGCAGAACATTTCCACGTACTTCCAGGGGTCCCCGTACACCCGGTTCAGAGCCCTTTATTCCAATACGCTTGATAACAATGACACTACAGTAAACTTTTATTTTACCAAGTCAGGCCCACGAAGTTATATAGCTCTTTTTAAGAAGCAACCTGGTTATCACGAATGATAGCTCACTGAAGTGGCGTATCACGTGTACATTTAGAGCAGCAGCCAAATACTCTAAACGCGTGATGTTGATTTTAAATGTGGAGGGAAAAACCCGGAGGACCCGGTGAAAAATCCATGCAACCATGGGGAGAGAGAGATGCAAGCTCCAAATATACCGCAGGCGTCAGCGTCGGGGTCAAATCAACAACTTCCTGTATACCAGGCGAGGCTGTTAACATCTCATAGCCACCATGGCGTATTTTACGTACCATTGTACGTAAAATGATGATCGTGGCTGAAATATAAAAAAAATGGCGTTAATAAAAGTGGTGGTGTACCCCCCTTCTCCTCCCTCCCCTCCTCTCCCCTCCGTGAAAAGGCCACTCTCCCGATCGTTGCCCCCGATTTGAGGAGGGGGCAGTGAGCTCCCTACTAGAAGCAGTGAGCCCCCTACTAGAAACAGTGAGCCCCCTACTAGAGACAGGGAGCCCCCTAATAGAGGTAGTGAGCCCCCTACTAGAGACAGTGAGCCCCCTACTAGAGGTAGTGAGCCCCCCACTAGAGACAGTGAGCCCCCTACTAGAGGCAGTGAGCCCCCTACTAGAGGTAGTGAGCCCCCTACTAGAGGCAGTGAGCCCCCTACTAGAGGTAGTGAGCCCCCCACTAGAGACAGTGAGCCCCCTACTAGAGGTAGTGAGCCCCCTACTAGAGGCAGTGAGCCCCCTACTAGAGGTAGTGAGCCCCCTAATAGATGTAGTAAGCCCCCTACTAGAGACAGTGAGCCCCCTACTAGAGGTAGTGAGCCCCCCACTAGAGACAGTGAGCCCCCTACTAGAGGCAGTGAGCCCCCTACTAGAGGCAGTGAGCCCCCTACTAGAGGTAGTGAGCCCCCCACTAGAGACAGTGAGCCCCCTACTAGAGGCAGTGAGCCCCCTACTAGAGGTAGTGAGCCCCTACTAGAGACAGTGAGCCCCCCACTAGAGGTAGTGAGCCCCCCACTAGAGACAGTGAGCCCCCTACTAGAGGCAGTGAGCCCCCTACTAGAGGCAGTGAGCCCCCTACTAGAGGTAGTGAGCCCCCCACTACAGACAGTGAGCCCCCTACTAGAGGCAGTGAGCCCCCTACTAGAGGTAGTGAGCCCCTACTAGAGACAGTGAGCCCCCTACTAGAGGTAGTGAGCCCCCTACTAGAGGTAGTGAGCCCCCTACTAGAGACAGTGAGCCCCACACTAGAGACAGTGAGCCCCCTACTAGAGACAGTGAGCCCCCCACTAGAGGTAGTGAGCCCCCTACTAGAGGCAGTGAGCCCCCTACTAGAGGTAGTGAGCCCCCCACTAGAGACAGGGAGCCCCCTACTAGAGACAGGGAGCCCCCTAATAGAGGTAGTGAGCCCCCCATAAGAGACAGTGAGCCCCCTACTAGAGGTAGTGAGCCCCCTAATAGAGGTAGTGAGCCCCCTACTAGAGACAGTGAGCCCCCTACTAGAGGTAGTGAGCCCCCCACTAGAGACAGTGAGCCTCCTACTAGAGGCAGTGAGCCCCCTACTAGAGGTAGTGAGCCCCCCACTAGAGACAGTGAGCCCCCTACTAGAGGCAGTGAGCCCCCTACTAGAGGCAGTGAGCCCCCTACTAGAGACAGTGAGCCCCCCACTAGAGACAGTGAGCCCCCTACTAGAGGCAGTGAGCCCCCTACTAGAGACAGTGAGCCCCCTACTAGAGGTAGTGAGCCCCCTACTAGAGACAGTGAGCCCCCTACTAGAGACAGTGAGCCCCCTACTAGAGGTAGTGAGCCCCCTACTAGAGACAGTGAGCCCCCTACTAGAGGTAGTGAGCCCCCTACTAGAGACAGTGAGCCCCCTATTAGAGACAGTGAGCCCCCTACTAGAGGCAGTGAGCCCCCTACTAGAGACAGTGAGCCCCCTACTAGAGGCAGTGAGCCCCCTACTAGAGGCAGTGAGCCCCCTACTAGAGACAGTGAGCCCCCTACTAGAGGCAGTGAGCCCCCTACTAGAGACAGTGAGCCCCCTACTAGAGGTAGTGAGCCCCCTACTAGAGACAGTGAGCCCCCTACTAGAGGTAGTGAGCCCCCTACTAGAGGTAGTGAGCCCCCTATTAGAGACAGTGAGTCCCCTACTAGAGGCAGTGAGCCCCCTACTAGAGACAGTGAGCCCCCTACTAGAGGCAGTGAGCCCCCTACTAGAGGCAGTGAGCCCCCTACTAGAGACAGTGAGCCCCCTACTAGAGACAGTGAGCCCCCTACTAGAGGCAGTGAGCCCCCTACTAGAGGCAGTGAGCCCCCCTACTAGGGGCAGTGCGGAATTAAAATCAGTGTTTATACTGCAGAAGTAATCCGATGAGCTCTAAAACTCTTTTTCACTGATGTCCATTAGGGGCCAGGACCAGGAAAGCCACAGAGAGTTGTAGGGCCCTGCATTGGGGGTGGGTATTTTTTTACCTTAAGATATTTCCAGCAAATTATTGAGTGAACTGTAGAGTGTGTGTTTGGTTTACTTTTCCCACGTTGACCTTAATAATTTGAAATGTTTTAATCCAAGTCACCCCTTTAACAATCGAAAGTAAATGTAACGCCTCTCACCCTCCTTGCTGTCCACTTCACCCCTCACCAGGTTTGACATCGCGCTCGTTCAGCTGAACGAGTCAGTGCAGCTCACCAGCAAGATCCAACCCGCGTCCCTGCCCTACCCGGGACAAATCCTCGCCAATGATGCCGAGTGTTATGCTACCGGCTGGGGAAGATTATCTTGTAAGGACCAAACAACTAAGCATCACTAACATGCTTTATATATCGACTAGGTCATTGCTGATGCATCTCAAGTCCCTACCACACAGCACTTCTGAGACTTCAACGTGTAGCAGTTGCGATGATTGATCATCTAACACTCACTAATTGGGACGCTGCAGTGATGAGATGTTAACTGTCTCGCCTGGTATGTAGGATGCCGTAGGTTTGATCCTGACCCCTGACACCTGCTGTATATTTCGTGTTTGCGTGTCTCTCTCCCCGTGGTCGCGAGGATTTTTTCTCCGGGTCCTCTGGATTTTCCCTTCACATTTATAATCAACATCACACGTTTAGAGTATTTGGCTCGCGCTATACATTTCCATATGATGATAAGCCACTTTGTTGAGCCATCATTTGTGTTCTGGTCGCTTCTGAAAACGAGCTGTATAGCTCTGATCACGAGAACGATATTTCACAATGGAGCTCAAACAGACGTACCCCAGTTCAATAACAATATATCTCATTATTATTATTATTCATGGACACCCAGAACTGAAATTTGGCATGTGAGGGGATAAATATAAATAGACTACACATGAATGAGAAAATTAATAAAAGGATCCCCCCTATAGCTTTAACAAGCTGTTGGGGAAAGTGCTGTTAGCGAGTGGCACCGATGAAGACCGGTACGGCACACAAGAGGGGTGGGTGGCCAACACCACGCCTGGTCACCTTTGTCTCCCCAGTGGCGATGTTTCTTTACACGCAGGTACTCATTTGAAGCTGAGTCGACCTAGGGGAGGCCCAGAACCGGTTCAGATAATCGCTATCACTGGTGTTGGTGGCCATGAGCGGGAATCGAACTCGGGTCGCCAGGTTCGTAGTGCAGTGCCAACTGCTACTACACTACCGCTCCTCGTCATTATTTTATGAGACGATAGATAGTCAAGGACGCCTCAGAACATCTGGGTGCCTGAATGTTGGCTGCAAAAGGTAAACAACATTTGGGGCTTTAATGAAGTTGGTAATTCTCGAACACGTTATGGACGGACACGGTACGTAAAAATAAACGGGACTGGGCATGGATAGGCTGAGTACATTGCAGCGAAAGTACGTAAAGCTCACATCGGGGTTGTTACCGTATCATCGTATTGGCCGCGTGCGTCTGTGTGTGATCAGTCTCAGGCCCGGCCTACGACACTTTGCAGCAAGTCCGGCTTCCAGTCGTCGACTACGCGACATGCAGCGGCGCCGATTGGTGGAGTGGCTGGGTGAGGCCCAGCATGATCTGTGCTGGTGACAGCCTCCACGCTGTCTGCAAAGTGAGTCTATCGGCAGATCTTCTCCATATTCTTGCCATATGGCTGCTGCTCATACTACCAAATGGACCAATCAGTTCCAATGACAAAGCAAATATTATCAGAGAATGTTTGTTTGTATGTATTGTCACAAGTATGTGTGGTGAATGCAGACTTGATGCCTTGGAAAGGTATATATTTTATCTCGGCCTCGTTGTGCGCTGCGTTGCACCGCTAGTCGAGTAGATAATCTTGCGTTCAATAAACCCTCGGAGCCAGGATGAACGTCCAACTCCAATCGTCATTTATTGATTGTAACAAGGTAAAACTGGTGAGAAAACACAGATACAGCATCTGTTATAATCCGGAAACACCAACACAATGAACACCACAGCATTAGAACATTGTCTTAGATAACAATAGATCCTGGACGGACCAGGCCCCTACATTACCACTGAACAGCTAGACAAGAGCACAAGCCGGTGCGTTGCATACAGGCACATCGTGTATTCATCCCACTGTACCCCAAATGTACAGCATTACACATAACACTAATGAAGCACAGCAACTGGACGCAAACCATAGTTTGCAGTGCATCAGTACCACTGTCATGGAGGCCATAAACTCAAGCACCGAAGTAACAACTGAGGTGGAACCAACAACAGGAGTGGAACTCACCCAGCCTCCCAGACCTGCAGTCGAGAGGAGACTACCAGGGCACAGACCGTATGTGAAGTGGCTTGGCGCCAGTGACAAGAAGTTGTGGGAAACAGTGAATACTGACCTTACCTTAACCCTCGAGAAACTTCGAGGCACAGTGGAGAAGAAGTTGGAGAGGATGGGGGACATCATCTATGAGTACGGGGCAGAAAGCTTTGGAGTGCAAGAGGCAAAAGGCGGGAGAAAGGTTCCAACCCCACCAGTTTCCAGGAGGCAACAAGAAATCAAGCGCCTCGTTCAAGAAAGGAGACAGCTTAAGAAACAGTGGAAGAAGGCCTCGGAAGTGGAAAAGGAGGGCATAGAGGCACTTCAGGCTGATATCAAAACCCGGTTGGCATCCCTCCGTAGAGCAGAGAACCTACGGAAACGCAGAAGGAAGAAAGAACAAACTAGAACTCGATTCTATGAAGATCCCTTCAAGTTCCTTAAAAGTATCTTCACGAAGGAAAAAAGTGGAGTTCTAAAAACAACAAAGAAAGACCTAGAGGAGCACCTGAGAACAACAAACTTTGACTCAAAGCGACATGAACATCTGTTCATCCCATCAGATATCCCACCCATTGAACCCCCGGAACATCATATTGAGACCAGCCCTCCGACATGGAAAGAGGTGGAAAACACAGTTCGACGGGCAAGAACAGCATCAGCCCCGGCGCCAAATGGAGTCCCGTACAAAGTGTATAAGAACGCACCAGACGTCCTGAGGCTCCTCTGGAGGCTTATGAGAACAGCTTGGCAAAAGAAGATAATACCCAAAGTGTGGCGTAGGGCAGGCGGGGTCCTGATCCCTAAGGAGAAGGATGCAGTGAACATCAGCCAATTCCGCCCAATCTCCTTACTGAATGTCGAGGGTAAAATCTTCTTTAGGGTCATTGCCCAGAGGATGGCCGAGTACCTGCAAAGGAATGCGTACGTCGATACATCTGTACAGAAGGCAGGAATATCAGGGTTATCTGGCTGCTTGGAACATTCCAGCATGATCTGGCACCAGATCCAAATGGCCAAGGTGGAGAAAAGGGACCTCCATGTAGTCTTCCTCGACCTCGCCAATGCATTTGGCTCTGTGCCCCATGAACTCCTGTGGTCTGCCTTCAGATTTTTCCACATACCGGACACCATCACAACCCTGGTGAAGTCGTACTTCCAGGATCTGCAGTTCTGCTTCACCACATCAGAGTTCACCACCTCATGGCAGTGCCTGAATGTAGGTATAAAGGCGGGATGTACCATTTCTTAGTTGGCATTCATAATGGCAATGGAGGTTATCATCAGATCCTCAAAATGGGTTGCTGGTGGACAGCGAGTCGACTCTGGTTTCCGCCTCCCTCCACTCAGAGCCTACATGGACGACATAACAACATTGACCACCACTGTCCCATGCACCAGGAGACTGCTCAGAAAATTCGAGGAGAACATCAGCTGGGCCCGTATGAAGATTAAACCATCTAAGTCACGCAGCATCTCAATTGTGAAGGGAGTACTCTCTGACCTGAAATTCTTCATCGGAGATGACCAAATCCCAACAGTGTCTGAGCAGCCGGTAAAAAGCCTTGGAAGGTGGTATGATGCAAGCCTGAAGGACAAAGACCAGGTGCAACAGCTGCGCAAAGACATCAGTAGTAGCCTACAGTCCATCGACAACACCCAGCTACCTGGAAAGTTAAAGGCCTGGTGTCTGCAGTTTGGTCTCCTACCCCGGGTGTTGTGGCCCCTAGCAGTATATGAGGTTCCAATCTCAACAGTGGAGAAGATGGAAAGAGGAGTCACAGGCTACTTAAAGAAGTGGCTCGGAGTTACACGATGCCTTACCACCATATGCCTCTATGGAGATGGTGTCCTCAAGCTGTCCCTCACCAGTCTAACAGAGGAATTCAAGTGTGCAAAAACCAGGCTCCAGATGACACTGAATGAATCTCGAGACCCAGTGGTTAGCAACAACGCGCCGACCTTGGCAACTGGGCGCAAATGGAGGCCAGGAAAAGCAGTCCAGGAGGCAACAGCAGCCCTCAGACATGCTGACATTGTGGGTCATGTTCAGCAAGGGAGAGGAGGCCTTAGGCTAACTAGCCATGCTGCTTGGAGTAAGGCCACTGCACCAGAGCGGCAGAAGATGGTAGTGCAGGAAGTACGCCATCAGGAGGAGGCTGCAAGGTGGGCCAAGGCAGTCTCTCTTGCCAAACAGGGACAGTGAACTCAATGGGACAGTGTGGAGAAGAGGAAGATCAGCTGGAAGGATCTGTGGGCCATGGAAGCGAAGCGGTTGAGCTTTTCCATCAGATCAACATATGACGTCCTTCCAACACCAATTAATCTTCACCAATGGTATGGTGAAGATCCGGACTGTGCCCTCTGTTCCATGCCAGCCAACCTCAGGCACATTCTCACAGGGTGTAAAACAAGCCTCACCCAAGGACGCTACACTTGGCGTCACAACCAAGTCCTTAAAAACCTTGCGTCCGCCCTGGAGGACAAGCGAGCTGCCACCAACTCCCTACCACCCCCAGCAGTATCACACCCCTTACGGACGACCTTTGTCCGCGAAGGGGCTAAACCACCGAAGAGCGGCTCTACACCATTAGAGCAAGACCAGCTGCGCTTGGCCCGCGACTGGAAAATGCTAGCTGACATTGGCCGGCAACTTGTGTTTCCTCCGGAGATCGCAACCACCACCCTAAGACCTGACATTGTGCTCTGGTCCCGTTCGCTCAAGAAGGTCTTCATCATTGAGCTCACAGTACCCTGGGAGGACTCAGTAGATGAGGCTTATGAGCGAAAACATCTGCGCTATGCCGATCTAGCTGCCGAAGCACGGCATCATGGCTGGAACACAGAAGTCCGACCAATGGAGGTGGGCTGCAGAGGTTTTGTGGCAACATCTACAACCAAACTGCTTAGAGACCTGGGAATTAAGGGACAGAGCCAGCGTTCGGCAATCAGAGCTGTATCGGAGGCGGCAGAAGGCAGCAGTCAGTGGCTCTGGATGAAGAGGAACGACCCCAGCTGGGCCCCAAAGTGAGAGGGCCAGGAGGTATGCGGTCAACAATGCTTGACTCAGGGAGGAGGACGCCCCTGCCATGCATAGTCCCATGGGATGTTGGCTATCTACAACAAGGCAACTCCTATGACTAATTGGGAATGGGACGCAAGTGTAGGATTGATCACCCTGTCGCTGGCCGCCTTTGGGGAGGGTGTATAGTATGAAAGGCCGAAACACCCTAGGAACCAAAGGTACACTACTGACGATGCGCTCCCCAAATTTCACCAGGCTCACTGTTCATGAACTCTTGAAAGTGCTTGCACAAAGGATAATAACATCTCATCCTGTGTTCTTGGAATCTAAACTGTGGATGAGATACTTCGTCATCTTTACTCTCAGGATCGCAACATAGACACAAGTCTGACTCGACCTACTAAATCACAAGTAACATCCACAATAAGGAAAGTCGCAGGCTTCGTTACTAACTAGGCCTCGTATTTACTACAACAACTTAACGGCACCATAAAGGCATTTACATCACTATAACGGTCATTCCAACATTACAACAGCATTGCCAATATTATAGGAATATAAACAACTTACAGACAATGCTTCTTAAGCTCCCACAATGGACAAGTGCGGCAGTGGTCTCACTGAGATGCGATGCGTGCCGCCATCTTGAATTATGAGTAAGATGGCCCATGCCCGTGTGGTTCACTGAAAATCTAACATCGTGACTTCCTAGTCACGTGACCAAAATTAGCATAAAAAAACAGGAACTTCCTGTGAACGTACGCTCCACATCTGCCGTGAGGCAAGACATATTTGGTGTTTGAACATCTTGACATACCTGTTTTATTGCCAGAAAAGGTAAAACCTATTCTTATTTTTCATACTGGCAAAAATGTCTCGTAGATACTTTTCATCAGTAATTATCCAGCATTTTTGAAAATCCGGCGCCCCCTTCCCCTCTAATCCGCCGGCTAATTGATTATCTACTCTAGTATAAAAGAAATGGTATTATATATTTACATATCAACAATATGGTTGTGCGGAATAGATGCGCAATGAGTTGCTGAGCATGCTCTGTGTAGGTACTTTACCACGTTACAATCCACCAAAATATTCTGAAATTCAAGTTCTTTCTGTTTACGTTCCTGTTTTCAGCAACGCATCCTGGGTGTAAACCGGGGTGTGCCTGTGTAAGCAAATAAGGATAAACATATATTTAAGTAGATTCATAATTAATTCGTTTAAATCTGGTTGATTGTGTCTGTGAAGTTACAACAAGTTAAGTCAATCTTACATTTTAATATTCACGTGGCGTCTTTCTGGTACAAATCCGCCACCAAAAGTGGTTAAGAAACACGGGTTATTTTGGGTGTGTGAATTTTTATTCTGACTTCGAGGATCGTGTGCTGAAGATGCTTGGCTTAGTTTCAAAAGAAAACCTCGTACATCTCATTGCAAAAAAAAAACATTAGAGGTGAGAATGATTGGCAAGTAAATTTTTTGAACAAGTGACGCAAAAAATGTGTTGCGATCGAAACGTCATAGTTTTTGGTTATTTTCTTTGAACCTATCTACGTGACGTCACAAAAAGCCCCAAAGAATATATATTCCTGCAGTCACGAAAACTTTAAGTCAAGATTTTGACAAGAGGCACCCACTCTGCAGTCACCCGATTCAAGGCCAGACCCATGCCCTTACATTGCCTCCTCTGCCTTTTGACTGTGGTCGCCACGGTGGCTAGGAGATGTTTACTACCTCGCCTGGTTTGCAGGAGTTCGTGGGTTTGATTCCAACCTTGACGCCTGCTGTATATTTGGAGTTTGCGGTGCCTCTCTCTCTCCCCGTGGTCATGTGGATTTTTCTCTGTGCCTCCAGTTTTTCCCTCCATATTTAGAACTATGCATCTCAAGTAATTTGGCTGCTATAAATTTCTACATGATGACAAGTCACTTCGTTGCGCTACAATTTGTGATAGCCAGGTCGCTTCTGAAAAAGAACAGCATTTACGCTACGTAAATCTACATTGTATTGCATCGCACAATAAAGTTTACAGAGTGCGTTGTTCACCGGTATTGCTATTGTTGTCATACGTAGGGCGACTCGGGTGGCCCACTGAACTGCAACACGAGCGGAGGCTGGGTGGTGCAGGGCATCACGAGCTTCGTGTTCAACAGGAGCTGCAACATGACTAACAAGCCTAGCGTATTCACGCGCCTGTCCGACTACAGCGCGTGGATTTCGTCCGTCACCGGGATGCAGTTCCCCACGACGGTGCGTGGATGGTGACGACGGCAGAAGCGAGCTTGCGTTTGACATAGCCGCCATCCTCTATGTCTTAAATGCACTTCACACAACCACGAGCAACTTACGAACACTGCTCAAGTCGAAATGATGAAGCCACTTTGCTGAGCTGCATTTGCGGCACAAGGTCACTCAGCACATGACCTACAATAGTTTACCAGCAGGGAGTGGGGTGGGGGGATAAATAAGATGCTTTGTGTAATACCGATTGATATCATTTCTTGGTCACTTTTCGAATATTCGGGGCAAAACTTGGACTATGATTCTGACATATGATGGACTCCTACCCGTCTTTTGAATGCCATCACGTGACCTTTAAGGTACACTGTAACCAGGGTGGCCTGCCAGATCCAAACCATCAACTTCTGCAACTAGCAGTGCCAAGTCCTTTTGCTGGCACAATGAGGAGGGAATTTATATCGCTCCTTAACCGAGGAACTTTACAAATAATTAACAACAGTACAAATGAGCGTAATGGTGCAGTTGAGGTGAATTAAATAGATGAGAGGAAGGAATGGGGCAAATATGTGATGCGTGAATGCATTGAGCTCGAAATTGATGACAGTACATTTTGATGAATGTATTTAATGAATGGGGTAATGAGTGGTAACCATATAATGAGAACGTGGTGAGGGAATGGTAACGATGGTGGTGGTTATGAGGGGGGGGGGGTTAATGAAAACTGCATAGCTGGCTGGCTATACAGCTACGACGAGGTAGAGATGGCAGCGACGACAGCCAGGACCTGAACCCCCACAACAGCCCCGAACCCCCGTTTGCCTTTTCCTTATATTCACCCAGCGTGTCCAAGCCCCGCCCTTGGTCATGCCCAACTCCTGGAACTCTCTCGCTGGTTCCAGGGGCTTCCAGTTCAATCCCCTCCTTGACCATTGGCCCAGTTACGGCCCATTGTGTTCGCTTGCATGTGTTGTTCTCTAACGCACCCATCGCCACCAGATGGCATCCTGTCACTACATCTGTGTTTCTTCGCTGTTTACAGACAACTACTACTGAGGCGGGAAGACTTTGGAATATAGCGCCATGATTGCTTCTTTATTGGCTACAGACCATGTGACAGCAGCCATCGCACGGTGGGGAGGAGGCACACGGGGGCTGGGGTGAGGATTAGTTGAGGGGGGTGGGTGCAGGTGGGGTGGGGGCAGTCGATGGGGGGACTGGGGGTGGAAGCTTTCATGGTGCATTGTAGTACAGTTGTACTCCAATACAGGGACTCCTCTACTTACGAATGAGTTAGGTTCCAGAGGTCTCTTCATAAGTCGATTTGTTTCCAAGTCCAAATTTACTCCTGTTGATTCCAAACATGTACGGCATGTACACTAAACACGGGGAATGGCTTTAAACGTCGTTTAATCTCCTGTAGATGTAGATGCCACTGGATAATCATGGTCTACAGATGTAGATACCACTGGTTATTCATGTTTTGCAGATGTAGATGCCACTGTTTCTTCACGTGGCATCTACATGAAATACGGACAGGTTTGTTTGTATCTCTGAAAGTTCGTAAGTCTAATGTTCCTAAGTATAAAAGTCCCCCCGATCACGTCGTTTCGGAAAAAAAACATGTCATCACTTTATTGTTAACACCACTACCTGATTTGCGTCACCTAAACCCACTTACATCACTGAAACCATCGTTTGTCCTTTCTCATATCCATCACCACTCATCCATCGCCTTGACCTACCTTGTAAATTGCTTCGATCTACATTGTTTCCATATACATCGTCACACTTTTTCCGAACGTTTTCCAGATGTAAATTGGGATATTACTTTATATTTGTGGTATTCTATGGACATTATTAAGAACGTCTATTACCACTGCTACCACGGTGACCTTTCTGGCGAAATTCATTCGTTAATTTATCCATCTATAGTCGTCTATCAGCCTGACTTTTTAATCTCATCCGTACTTTGTACAACTACAATACTGGTAACAACACACTCACCCAACCACTCAATCAGCCACTCACCAACTCAATCATCCACTCAACCAATCAATCCCTCACCCTTCACACAATACTGCAGGCCACAACACAACATGCAACCACTCACTCGATCACCAAATCACCACATAAGTCAACTGTTTACGAATGCAATCAATCCCTCACCCACTCACCACACCGCAGGTCACAACATTTCATTTATTTTGAGTATGACCACGTAATGATATTGCCATTTTTTTGTGTCATTACAACCCTCCACCATCTGGGATTCTGTGATCTCAAACCTGATCATGTAGAGCAGGGCTAGGAAACCTTTCAAGAAAGGAAAGCCATTCTTTTTTTGTCTTTGACCATAATCGTTTGATAACCACAGCAGCGAGTATACAGCAGATCACAAGAAAAACATTTAGAGTTAAAAAAAACTCAATTGGTGATGGGATAAACTGTTGCTTATTTAGTTTTTTTCCTCCCTGGTTATTCATTGACAATATAGTTTTACTGTTGTACATTTTGTTGTCACTACCAAGATACTCCACAGACCCCCATTCCCTGCCATATTTAATCAATTATCTTTAGGTGAAATCATATTTCAGATTAACGTGTTTTTGTTTAAATGGCTGCCCACAACGGGGAAGCCAAAGAGCCGCATGCTGACTCTGGAGCCGCAGGCTGCCGACCCCTGCTCTGGAGTCATCCTTGTGTAGTCACGTAGAATGAGTCACTAGAGTACATAGCATGGGGTGCTTGGAAAGAGGAGGATTATGGGTACAGCAGCCCGGTCTGCCAATGAGACACATGGCTGGAGTCTGGAACCTTCTGGTGAGATCAGGAGGGGGCCTGGCCGAGGGCGGAGCCTGGCCACGCCGGGGAGAATATAAGGGAGGCTCCGACACTCAGTCGGGGCTGTCGTCTGGGAAATGAACTCGTCATGCTGCCGTCGTCCTCGTTTTCACCTCCTCGGCGTCGCTGGTCGAGTAGCATACGGACCGTGGGTAGATATCCCATGTGACTATATGGAATGGAATAAAGGATGTGCCTCCAACTCTTAGTATGTCCACATTGATACACACCACCGCGCTCTGAATCCAGAGTGTGACTTTATTCCTAGCAGTAAGGATTTTCTTCTTTGCTTAGTTTAGTTGAATTTAAATCTCCAAAAGTGTAGTCTTGCTTCTGCTATTTGTGAACAATACATTTGAGGACGAAAATTATTCGCCTGACCTATATAAAAAATACTGTTACGATACATAAAGATGTATTGGCAGTACACCGGTACAGCATAACGCAACGATCATCATAGAACAGTCTGACGATGTCGTTGTTGCCCCTTGAGTGAGCCTCAGACTCTCCATCAGAAGTGGCACTTAGATGCAGCAGTTGCTTTCCCATTTGAACGTGTGGTGATACCACCACGAGTCGTAACCTTTTAATGCCACCGTTCGCCCAAAATTATTCCAGAAATGAATCGAAGAACCGTCTCGATCAAGTCTAGGGCAAGAGCAGTCAAATCTGCCTTTGGAACACGGAGCCAGCCAATCGTCATCAGGCGGGGTGCTGCAATACGGCAACAGACTGCGAAACTTCGTGTTCAGCCGTTCATAAACATTCGTCTTCTGACAGCTTCGACATCACGAGAACAGATTCTAAGGCACCACCACCCCACATTTATTTTCTGACCGGGATTGAGAGTTTTTTTTTTATATCGCGCACCACCGGTGTACCACCAATACGTTAATTTGCAGAACAGTTATTGAAAGTGAACATTGTTTGTATAAATAAATACATAGCTGATGGTCCCAAGACACAACCTTTACTGGGCTCCGCACTTCCCATTGCCGACTGGTTTGGTTGTATGCACTCGACAGATGCTCATGAGAAATTTTGATTGGGACACGTGGCATTTTACAATGAGCGCTGTGCGCTTGGGATACATCTTCAGACCGACCTTCACAATGATTTACATGTGTGTGCGTGTATTTATATTTCAGAAACCATCATCGTCGACTACAAAGATGCTGGTGTATGCTCATCTCCCGCTGTTGCTCCTGCTGGCCCAGGTGTTCATTTAGCCGACTGACGTTGAAGAAGCATGATTCGATTTACGTGCCAAATTCTTCTTTAATATTCAAACAATGTTTTACTGCTGATCTACAAAGCACACATTCTGCAAAAGTTTGAATACTGTTGTCATATCTGGGGTGGAGCACACCCAGTTCATACCAGTCGAGGGCAATTGATAGAATTCAGCGCAAACTAGTCGTCTTCTTCTTTGGAAGGGCATTTTTCGGGATTGGAACAATTTAAAAATGTATGTTGAGATTTGATATCCACTCCGACTGCTTCAGGAGTAGCCTCGTGGATTTGTTTCAACTCGCGGTTGAATGATCCGATTGGGCAGTCGTTCACGATATGTTTACATGGTCTGAGATGTTGCTTCACAGTCACAAACTATGCAGGCAGCTGTACGACTGCTTATTCCTACTAACGCTGTGACGTAGTTATGTTTACTCAATCGCGTTATATCCAATTCGCATCAGAATAAAAAAAATGTGTTCCCTAAACACATTAATCACATTATATCCAGTTCGCGTTATGAAAACAACACGCAGCATTATAGGAGAACAGACTGAACTGAGATTATTAGTCGAATGGTCTATAGTGTTGCATCAACGGTGTTTGTGTTGCATGCTTAGTGTTGTGCACGTGGCACGTGTTGTGGGAGCGATTTGTCGGGTGTGTGTAAGAGTAAAAGTCCGCGTGTTGTGTAATGATTTTGGTGTTGTGTACATGGCACGTGGTTTGGGAAATATGTTTTATATTATTGGTGTTGTGTGCATTGCATGATGTGAGTGGTATGTGTAAGATACTAATCAGTTCGTGGTGTGATATTATAGGCTGTCATAAAATACAGTTAAATTAACTATTTTTCCGCAGTTATCACGCATTGATACGCTTCCAAGCAGCACTAAGCCTATGTACTGTATATTTTACTTTTTTTCGAACTGTTCGTAACCAACCGTGTTAATAATCAGAGGTGGCTATTAGAACGGTGGAGATTATTTCTCTAAATTTCAATAGATTTTCCAAGAAGTATTGGCCAGTAATTATGAAACGAAACTATCAAATTGGTCCGGCTAACTGCGACAATGGAAACCTAGACATTATATTGCTGACAATATATTATGTTATATCATGGGACCTTTTTGCCAGTATCAATGTATGAAAAATAAGAATTGGTGTTACCCTTTCTGGCAGTTTAAAGAGGTGTAAAGATGTTCAAACACCAAATAGATACAGTTTTGCAAGGCATCAAGTCTGCATTATCCACACAAACTTGTGGAAAAACATGCAAACTAACATTGTCTTTTGAACTCAGCCTACATTACAGACAGCCCTCTTCATAACTTCGTCTCGCCAGTGTTAGACTAGATAGCGCCAAAAGGTGAACAGTACAAGACAATGCGCGTATCAGAGCATTTATAGATACCTGCCAAAGGTATGTATTTGATGTTTGAACATCTTCACACATCTTTTATTGTCAGAAAACGTGAAACCTATTGTTATTTTTCACACTTTGATACTGACAAAAGGTATCCCATGTTAAAGCTGCTCACCCCAGCTATAAATGCTCTGAAACATACTATGTTTGCTAACATACTGTGAACATTTGCAGACGTGTTGCTAACAATCCTATTCGTTATACCTAACATGTGCAGTGACTGACTCAGAGACACTAAGAGTAGGAGGCACTCTTTTTATTAACACGGCCTGATAGTAACACTTCGTAACTACGGTTCCCAGTCAGGACAGCTGGTAGACTGCCTGACTGGCGACGCCGAGATGGTGAAGGCGGAGACGATGGTGAAAACTCCAGCAGCACGACGGGATCCCACTCCAAACGACAGCCCCGAGGTCCCTGCCCGGGGCCCCTCTTACACTGTCAGCGTGGCCTGGCTCCGCTCCTGGCCACGCCCCCTTCTGGAACCTACTAGCGGGTGCTCGATCGCACTTGGTCACGGCGGGGTTTACGGCATGGTACTTGGCTATTTTTATTTTACGAAAACCACACCGTTGGAGAGCCAAATCCTCCGAAAGTGCGGAAACACACAAACAAACCCACCAACCCCGCCACAAACCCACACACAAACAATTTGACTTTTATATAGATAGATTGTGTGGTTTTAAATAGTACTGTGGTTTTAAATACTACTGTGCTCACCATTGATGGGTGTTGAAAAAAACCCACATCAAATCGTGGAGGGACGTGTACAGCATACCAAAGTGACGAAAAATAAGCTTTAATCCTCGTTTATCTCTCTCTCTAGCTCTGCTCACGTAATTCCAAGTCGCGGGCCCCTGCCGTGTTTCTAGTAATATCACCCTTCGGAAATCCCCGCGTTTGCAAGGCGCAAATAGGGCATACTACACAGGTAATGTGATGTAACACAGACACCGAGAGACGCCGTGGCGACGCTGGGTGTGAGCCAAGGACGCGTCATGCGCGTTTTGCTTGGAACTGTACTGCGAGAGGAGACGAGAAACGAAGAATAGAACAAGCGAGATTACAGGTGAGGTGGGAACAAGGAGACACGGGACAGCCGAGGAGGCTGGGGCCTCTGAGTTCTGAGCAGAAGCGTGATACAACATCGCAAATCCAAGGGTTACTGAGGAGTATGAAAATAGGTTTTCCCCTTTTTGCTGGCAACAAAACAGGTATTAATATTTAGACTTAAAATTTTTGTGACTGCAGGAATTAATATTCTTGGTTATTTCGGTAAAGTCACGTAAATAGAAAAAACCCCCACGACGTTTCGATCGCAACACAAGCGGCCTGATGAAGACCACTTGTGTTGCGATCGAAACGTCGTGGGTTTTTTGCTTTTATTTTATATTTTATGTTTTCTATTTACGTAGCTTTACCGAAATAACCAAGAATATAGGTGTTAAGATGTTAAAACACCAAACTGAAACCTTTTACAAGGAATAATGTCTGCATTAACCCCCAATACCTGTGGTCAGGATGCAAACAAAAAACATACTCTGATAATATATGCATTGTCTTTGAAACTGACGCCAAAAGGCGTACAGGAGTAGTTAATGAAGTGGTTTTTTAATGCGCTGAATGTTAATGAGTAGTTAATTATGGGGTAGTTTATGCGTGTCGATTGTCAACGTATATAGTTAACACGTAAGTAGTTAATCTGTGATGAGTAATGCGTATTTTATGAGTGCAGAATTAACTAGTGAGTGGTTAATTCGTGCTGAGTAATGAATAAGTGGTTAATGAGTGCCTAACCTAGTGAGTAACTATCCAGTGAATTGAGGAGTGGTCAGTGCACCTGTTTCATGTTTCAAGTGATCATGTAATTGTCATCTGCCCATAGCAGTATACGAATTTATAAACTCTCCAGTAGTAGTGGTGTGACTGTGGTCATGTAGAACAGACTGTAGTACAACGTATATCGGATGATGCAATGCCCCCAGATCCACAAATACGAAAGACACATCACAGTGGTCCTCACCTGGTAAAATAAAAATAGTTAATAGCAGTCCGTTTTAACTTCCTATAGTTCATCTTAAGTATGTTATGTATCGTGTCAAATACCATTACGATCTATATTTACTATTACCATCTACCTTATAAGTGATACTTTAACAATGTGAACTCAAGCTTGGAGAGAGTTGAATGGAGTTCAAGAGAACTCACAAACGCCTCCTGGTTGCGAAAGACCCAACGCAGAGGTTCCCTGGGTTTGATCTTCCATAAATCTGCTCATTGTCCACCCTCGCCCGCACAGCCCATGGCAGTAGTAGATGCGGATACCTGATGCACAAATGGAAACTTTGAAGCTCTCCAGCAAGTGTGCGACTGTGGTCATCCAGAACAGAGGCCGTAGTATGGCGTAAAACGATGTGATGCTCAGATCCACAAATACGAAGGACATCGCAGCGACGACGATGATGAGACACTACTTCGCTTGCTTCTGACGCAGCGGTTATCTGGCTTGGCCATCTGAATGGCTAATTATAGTTGTTGCGCCTCCTTTACATCAGCACGCCATACACGAAAGAAGAACAAGTTGGTGCACGTTCCTCTCCTGCTCCGAGTCTCACGTGACAATGTAATGCTCGGAATCCACCCTCCCACATCGCAAGGCGACCAGAGTGAAGGAAGAAGAACACAGCAACCAATCGCATGGAGACAAAGAGCTCGTCCAGCACGCAGATTGGTTGCCTGGTAAAATAGGATTTCCATGTTTGTGTGTCTTGAGTGTTGGTGTCCTTCCCCCACACTTCTGATTAGCATGGTTGGCTACGTACGGTGGTGCATAATAAGTTCAATATGTGATGCCGCCGCCACGAAGCCGTTCGGCAGGCGCCCCATCCCCGACCTCGCCACCACCAAGCAACGGAGCCAACCCCTTGTCTCCCTCACCTCACCTCACATGAACACACCCGCACGCATTTCCCCCCCCCCCCCCCCCCATAGAGCTCCGAGGGGAGGTCACCTGGCCGACCGGTTTTTATCCGAGAAACCCTTATCGGGATTAACTCTCACGGTTTCCGGCGATCAGGGAATTGGATGACCTCCCCCGTGCTACGTTGCGCCGCGGCGCTGCGACCGGCCTTAATATGGTGTGGTCGCGGCGTGGGGCATTCGGCCACCGCGGTTGAGGCGCATTTCCCCCCACACACACCCCCACGGGTCGACGGGGCAAGCAGGGGAGGGACGGGACAGCATGAATAGCGGGACCGCAGGAGCTGTTGCGTATAGTCATGGAGGGTTGGGATAATTACGCTTGAGCGCGCAGGCCCTATTGTTAGGGAGGGTAAGGGATTAATTAGGATGTACGCCGCCAACGCCGCTCACTGATTAGCATATCAAAAGCGCCCGGAACCGCCGTGCGCGCACTCGAGGTGCGCGAGCCCATTGTTCAGCGCAGCATCCCCTTTGAGGTAGGGAGAATAAATAGAGGGGCGCAGAGGGGAAATCGCTCTCTTCTCTCCAGCGCCAGGCGACAGGACGCTCTCCAGTCCAGCGACCCGAACGTCCGTAAGACGCATCGAGGCACGCTGCGAGTACGGGATCAACGAACCGCCGTGGGCATCCAACAGGGGGTAAGAAGGTGAATTAGAATCATAGCAGACAAATCGGGAATAGGTATAAAGGTATCAGCGTAAGCCAGCCTCGTCGACTCACTGATTTAACATCTAGTTCCAGGTAGCGGATAATAAATCATTAATAGCGAAGCGTGGTCTCGCGTGATCTTGTCGTGCAGCGTGAGCGTGTGGGTGCGCGGGTGCACACAGTGGTTCGCCACGTGAGTGAGCGCTGCGCGGAGCTGAGCGCGTGGGTGAGCGTGTGTACGCAGTGGTTCTGTAGTGCTGCGGCTCGCCTCGGGGGAGCGCTGCGCAGAGCGGTGCGAGAGTGGGTGTCGCGTGTGTTCACTCCGTGTGTGATACAGGTGCACGATCATAACGCGAGTAGTCAGTGTGGAGTTGGAGTGCACGGAGCAGTGTGTGTGTGTGTGCGTACATTCGCTCCGTGTGGGTCGCAGGTACGCGATTAGGAAAGGGAGGTATCGTGGTAACGTAAAGGGGGACATAATACTACGCGGTATCCAACCATGCCTACTACGCGGACCCGCGGTGGAGGGGAATCCTCGGGCGACGGCTCCCACACCATGGGTGAGGAACTTAGCAGCGGTTCGCTCAGCAGCGGGGGGGCGATTGATGATGTTAGCCCGGCCGTAAGCATCATCGAGGGAGGGATCTCGGGGGCTAGTGACCCCGACAAATACACCGACATAGACACACAAAGATCTATAGACTCGCACAAAGATCCATAGACTCGCACAGAGGCCTATAGACTCACACAGAGACACAAACTCACACAGAGACCTATAGACCCAACACAGAGACCCATAGACTCACACAGAGACGCATAGACTCACACGAAGACCCATAGACTCACACAGAGAGCCATGGTTTGTTGTCCTTTCCCCGGACCTCCGATTAGCACAGTTCGCTACGTACGGGGGTGCAAAAAAGTTTAACATGTGTAGTGAGCGACTTCCGAGACAACTTATTTATGTCTCACACTTTAGGCACAATCACTTTGATTACATATATATATATGGCTACGCATAGCTGACTCATCTACACAGCCCCATCGTCGGCATCTAACTATATAGCTGGCTGACTAATATAGTGACGACGACGATGGGAGCCGTGCAGTTGATCGGCCACGCGGCCGGACAACGAAGAAAGATGACGACGAAGACAGCGATTGCAGCCAGGACTCGGACCCCACGACAGCCCGAACTTTTGGTCACATATCCCTTATATACTTTCCAGCGTGGCCAGGCCCCGCCTCCGGCCACGCCCCTTTCTAGAACCTTTGAGCAGGTTCCCAGATCTTCCCGACTGATTCCGCCTTTTACCTTTAACCCAGTTACGCCCCCTTCTAGTTGGTTATTATATAACGCACCCATACTCGTGATTACCCCTACTGGTGTGAGTCTATGTAGGTAGGTGTACTAACCCTACTGGTTAGTACACCTACATACATAGATTCACACAGAGACCCATAGACTCACACGTAGACCCATATAATCACACAGAGACCCATGGTTTGTTGTCCTTCCCCCGCACCTCAGATTATTACGGTTGGCTATGTATGGTGGTGATACATACGTACATAGGAATCTGCACTGACAAGCACTGCCCAAAGAGAGAGCACGCTGCATATTTGACACCGATGCAGACCGCATACGCGTTGGTGGACAGAAATTAGTGCAATACTCATACACAGACTGTTTATTTATTTTAACACGTTTTGAAGTCACGTGTTTCAGCCCAATGCATTGTTGGATATCTAAGATTATTGAATTCGACTGTCTTCCTTGTGCTGTAGAGAATGGCCAATGCATTAAATGTAAACGAATAATTCTAACGTGCGTGTCTATGACCACCATATAAATAAACTTAAGATTGGAGAACCTTTACTGATCCAAGAGATGCCAAGAGGTGTTCCCCACTAATTATACATAAACCAGCGCCAGGGTTGAACGAGGAATTACCGACGCTGGAAACACCACGGATAATTCCTCAGCACGGGCTTGGCTGGCAAAATGTAAAGGCCGAGAGCCCTGATGTTCCACTTCCTGACAGCCACTCCAGGAAGCATATGGATGAGTAAAAGACCAATGGTTCAGCCGTGGAATAAAAAAACTAAAAACACAAATATTAACTGTTTAAATTTAACTAGGTAAGGCCCCACTTAGCTATGTAGCTCTTTTTCAAAAGGTACCTGGCTATCACAAATGATAGCAGCTCAACGAAGTGGCTTATCACATGGACATTTACAGCAAATACTCTAAACGCGTGATGTTGATTCTAAATGTGGAGGGAAAAACCGGAGGACCCCGAGGCGAATCCACGCGACCACTGGAAGAGAGACATCGCAAACTCCAAATATACAACAGGTGTCAATGTCGGGAGTTAACCTACGAGCTCCTGTAAACCAGGCAAGGTAGTTAACATCTTTCAAAATTTAAAGAGTTAGAATGGGAAGTGAAGACGGTTAGAGGGTGGAGAAAGAGATGACGATGAGATTGGAGAAAGAAGGAACTTGGAGATGCTGGAAGGTTCAGGAGGAGAGGGAGATATTAAGGGCACGTGATGTGAGCACGTACCTCTTACGGAGATAACGGAACTGAGAGAGATGTGCAGTGAAACAGAGTTGTAAATAAGAGTGCAGTGTGGTGTTAAAGACTCTTGGACGATGTTCTGCTATAACGCGGTGGTATTTGCGTTCCTGAAGAACACCACGTTATGTAAAAATCGTGTAAAAAGAAATCATATATAATATATGGTGAATCACAGTCCGTGATAACACGCAAGATGCGTACGCAGGCTGAACAAAGACCGAGGCACGTTGGTAGCATCTAGAAGTATCCAGCAGCATCCCAATGCCTTGTATGATGATGCTATGTCAAGGTATAGCGCGACGTAGTTCTGTTTACTCGATCGCGCTCTATCCAATTCGCATCCGCGTTATAAATGTAAAGGTGTAATTGGGCGAAGACGCGCCATCCCCATGCAGTTAACCGGTAGTAACGGCTACATGCCAACATGGGGCAAAAGAGGGGCTGAGCTCCAGTGCTAAGAGACTATGGCCCATGAGTGCCCAACGGTTACCCTATGAAAGGGTATGTTTAAAGGGACAGACCCCAGACCCCAGGAGGGGGGCTGAGGGATGACATCACCCCCAGATCCTTCTCGAAGGTTCGGGAAGGAAGGTGTGGCCAGGGCGGGGCGAGCCACGGCCCTGCATAAAAGCTGGACCCTGAACGGTCCCGGCAGTCATCGTCCAGCTGAAGACAAGAATCCTCCTGAAGAGAAGAGCCCAAGGGCAGAACCATAGCCCTGGCTAGGGTTGGCTCTAGCTGTAACCAGTGAAGACTGAAGAGAAGAGCCCAAAGGGCATAGCCATACCCCTGGCTAGGGTTGGCTCTAGCTATAACCAGTGAAGACTGAAGCTTCCGTCAGTGAGAGGCGTATTAGTCTGGAGGGCAACCTCCATTGTGTATCGGGTGTGAGGGGCCGTTACCCCTCTGTGTTAAGTGTTAATTGTTAAATAAATTCCGTGTTGCTTCAGAAACTCTCTCCTTGTCATTCAACCCACTACAACTGGCGTCAAAAGTGGCCAAATCTACGACTATGGAAATAAAAAGAGTTTCACAATACATTAATCGCGTTGCATCCAATTGGTGTAATGAAAACAAACACACGGCATTATATGAGAATGGAGACTGTAGCCCTCCAAGGAATCGACGTGTGGACGTCTTTTACACAACAAAAACAAAGATCCCCCATATAGACTTAATAGACTGCTGGGGCAAGTGCTGTTAGCGAGCACCTATGAAAGCTGGAACAACACACGAGGGGTTTTTGGTAAGCCATTGCCTCCTGGGTGGCGATATTTACACACCGCAACAGGTACTCATTTGAGGCTGCCCGACCTAGGCGAGGCCCAGGACCGGTACAAATAACCGTCACTGGTGTTGGCCGTGAGCGGGAATTGAACTCGGGTTGTTAAGTTCAAAGCGCAGCGCGCTAACCACTACAGTAACGCTCCCCATGGACGTTTTTTACACTTAACGTAAAATCTGGTTTAAATAGGTGGTCACCATTCCTCCTGCCTATGCCTTAAAAACTGCAATCCTCCCTTGGTTGACATTGGCAGCAGCAGGAGACAGAGAAAATGGGAAAATGGGTCAGATTCATATATATTTGTATTCCCATTGATCCTCTTCGTTTCGTTATATTGGGTCACGGTTGTATCCTCGAGTTACTTGCAGTTACTTGGGCAATCTCGTTTGTAAACCTCTGCAGGTGGCTTAGGTAGTCTTGTCATTGGGGATATGGCACGAGGAGGCGTCGCTTAAAATGTAAATATTCCTTTTCTTTTAAACAAATGCATGGGTAGCCAGCACAGATATGGAGTTCATCATTACCTTACCCGAAGCATGTTGATTACCACCTATGAAGTAATACAGTTGATCGTTTTTGTTTAGCGCTGGGTAACTGTAACAGGTGACTACATATTAAATTATTTGTGAAATCGTTTATACTGGATAGTGTTTTCACGGCAGTGCCCAGGATTGAAATATTTAAATATGCATTCCACTACCTCCGCTTATGTCACTGTCATGGAAACAGTGAGAAAGTATGTTCAACGGAGTGTCCGACGCGTTATTCGAAGCTATCCGCTAGTTTAGCTTTGTCACTGAGCGTTTAAAGCAGCGCGTTCGCCTCCGAAATCAGTGCAACGAAGGGACCTCCTTCCTGCGTATTTGCACTGCTTATGCGTTCAAACAGATTGTGGCTCTCCTCTTGACGGATCTGAAACCGTGGATTGTTTAACATATAAATTATAATCCTGCAACATTATCATAGCATAATCATAGTAGTATCATTAGTAATTGTATTGATGGTTTGTGTGTGGAGTACTATGTACACCAGGGCATCTCAGAGCACCGTGAATACCATGAGAAAATTACACCACTTCTTCTCATCTCGTCTCAAACATCTTCAAAGATTACCCCTAGAGCAGTGGTGCTTTTTAACCTGGGGTGGTGCATGATGCCCTTTCAGGAGGTGCGAGACATGGCCAGATTTTTTAAAAGGTAAATAATCGAAAACACAAATCGGGCATTAAGTACAACTATTTTTCGATTTAAAGCTTTCGTGACTGCAGGGATTCATCTTCTTGGTTCTTTCGGTAAAGTCACAGCGAAGGGGAAAGAAAAAACATAATGAAATTATTTTATTATGTTTTATTTTTATTATTTTATTATTTCCCTTCTACGTGACTTCACCGAAAGAATCAAGAAGATACAACTATTTTGTTTCATCAAACCCTATCTATTCAAGATTATACATTTTTATCTTGACTTAAAGCTTTTGTGACTGCAGGAATTCATGTTCTTTGGGTCTTGCGGTAAAGTCACGTAGATAGAAAAAATATATCATGACGTTTCGATCGCAACACAAGCAATAGTCATCAGGTGAACAAATTTAGTGGGAGACCTGCTACAGCAGGATGTTATATAGGTTTGAGATGGGTGTAGCCCAAGGGTAAGTGTGGGGGGGCTAGAGATGGAATTTGCGTGACAATGTAATATCGGAGAGCTGATATACCTCCACGACTACGAAGCTCTGGAGGTGGCCATTGTATTGTCAGAGATTAGCATGTCAATCTGTTAATGTAAGATTAGCATGTCAATGTGTAGTGAAATTGTGGATGTCACTGTGGGGTGCCGGCCCGGGAGGGCCGTGGCGTGCAATGTACTTACGAAATTCAACCCTTTAGCTAGAACCGATTTTAGGCTGTCAGAAATTGGGCTGTTACTCTGATTGATTGTTATCAATTGATTGTTATCAATAAGAATAACAGCCCAATTTCCGACAGCCTAAAATCTGTTCGAGCTAAAGGGTTGAATTTCGCAGTCACCCCTAAACACATCCCAGTTGATGATATCATTGCCCAGGTCGAGGTAGCACTTAAGGGTTTGGAACACATTCCTGCAGACGTGGCAAGATGGGAAATCGCTGCAATCCTCAAATACGCTGAGACACCTATTTGCAAAATCAGCAAGGATCAGCACTTTGAGCTTTCTCAACTAAAAAAGAGAGATGACATAGTCAATGCCACTGTCATCATGGACAAAACCACATACAATATAAAAATTCAGGACCTACTTAATGATGGCAGCTATACCAAAATCAATATAGATCCTACCAACCCGCTGGTTACAAAAACCAACAATATCATCACTGATTCGACATTTTAATAGAACCAAACAAGCAGCTCTCTCTAAAACCCTCAGCTGATAGACCACCCATATTATATGGCTTACCAAAAATCCATAAAGAAGGTACACCACTCCATCCTATCGTCTCCACCATTGACTAACCCACCTACAAACTGGCCCGATTTATGTCTGAGACCTTACATACCTTCACTGGTAAGATCACCTCAGCTGTACTTAACTCAGCTCAATTAGTATCTCTAATTAAAGACATCTCACTATCTCAAGATGATTTGCTTGTCAGTTTCTATGTAGTATCTTTGTTTACCAAAGTTCCTGTGCCTGACACCATTGCAATAATTGAAGATTTGGTCCAACAAGGACTGAATGCTGATGTACATGTCCTGGTTAGACACTGCCTCACCAACACTTACTTCACCTGGAATGGAACATTCTACAAACAAGTTGAAGGTACCCCAATGGGTTCTCCCTTGTCTCCAGTTGTAGCCAATGTTTTCATGGAAAGTTTTGAGACTGATGCCATCCAGGCATCCACACTACATCCTTCCTTGTGGAAGAGATAGATAGATGACACGTTCGTCATCTGGCCACATGGCCCGCCAGAGCTGGGCCAATTTTTCAAGCACATCAATTCCATACACCAGCCATCAAATTCACAATGGAGGTGGAAAAGGATAGCAAGTTACCATGCTTAGATGTTTTAATCGAAAATAAACCAGATAGCTCAATGGGACACTGTGTCTACAGGAAAGCCACCCATACCGATGCCTACCTAAAACCTGACTCCCACCACCATCCAGCCCAGAAGAATTCCCTCATCAAAACTCTACACCATAGAGTTCGTTGTATTTCCAACCATCACCACCTAGCCAGTGAACTGGAGCACGTACACCAAGCCATCAAGATGAATAGATATCCGGACTACACAATCCGTAAAGCTATCACCCCAACCGTTGGGAAAGAACCATCTGAGTTCCAAATCAAAACCATCACCTTGCCATACATAGCAGGGGTTACCAACATTTTTTTCCAAAATCATGAGCAAACACAAGATCCAGGTTCGATTCAACACTGTACGTACAATTGGTGATCTGATCCCATCTGTGAAGGATGTGATCAGTGACATGCAATACCCCGGTGTTTACAAACTAAGCTGTGTCTGCAGCAGTAGTTACATTGGGAAAACTATGTGACATGTCTCGGACCGTGTTCTTGAACAGACGGCAGATCTGAAACACGGTAGGGCCAATACCTTGGCCGTGGTTGATCATTGTTTTAACGCTGAGTATCATGACGAAGGTACTCTGCAAACCCACTCGCTATTAACAAGATTCGTTCATGAAGCCATCCAGATATATAAACACAGACACATTTTGAACCGAGAAGATGTGTACAAACTGAGCAATCATTGGAAGGACTATTAACCAGTTTAAGTCATAACTGGCTGTGATGTTTCCATCCTACCTGCCGATGTTAAGAGTTATTTCCAACTCTCTGAGTTACATTACCAGGTTAAATGTCTTCACATTAACAGGCTAAATGTAAGTTGTTGCTTGCGCTGCCTGTACTTTATTTGTGTTTCCATTATTTACCTTCTAACAAAAAAATATGGCCACGCCTCGCCCAGGAAGAGCATATCGCTCCCCGAGGCAGTGCTTGATACACCCCAGGTTAAGAAGAAGCACAGCAAGCAGTGAATGTAAGCAAGCAGTGAATGAGCGACCGCTGTCACTATATAACTTACTCATTTGGAATATAAGACTCGGTGAGGATACCTGTGTAAAAACAAACGTAGACATGACAATACGTAATACGAGTATGTGTATCATGTTAAATATGTCATAGGCTGCATATTGCACAACACGGTTAATCCACACTAATATCACGACACATGTGGAACTTACGGAGTCAAGTAATGGGGTGTGTAACAGCAATATACAAATATTTGTGGGGAGTGCAGCGGTTAGCGTGCTGTACTACGAACCCGGCGACCCAAGTTCGATTCCCGATCATGGCAAACACCAGTGACGATTATCTGCACCAGACCTGGGCCTCCCTTAGCTCGACTCAGTCTCAAATGATTACCTAGTGGGGTGTGTTGTAAACATCGCCACTCGGGAGACAAAGACGGCCGGGCGTGGTGCTCGCCACCCACCCCCTCGTGTGCCACAGTGCCGACCCTCATAGGTGCTGCTACTTGCGAACAGCACGTGCCCCAACCGTCCGTTACAGGTTATACGGGGGGCCTTTGTCTTTGCACAGCAATATGTAGGGTGTCACTTGTGGGTTGTAGCGTGCCGTGCGTCAGGTGACTATGACGAGCGAAGTGGAGCAATACAAGCGGCTGGTGAGGAGCTGCTTGGATGACATCAAGAAACTCGACAACAAGTGAGTTGCTGAGAGGGGGAGAAGATTTTCGTGAGATTCGGACAGCTGACACTCCCAACTTCCGTGCTGATGAGTCACAATGACATACCATCGCATCATTCCTTTCATAAACAAGTAAAATGTTTCCAAACACAAATAGCGAATTTGCTGTCAGAAAGGCGGGTTCTCTCTTTAGAATGAAGCCGTGCATTTGAGCTGTATGAGGAGGCCCGCTCACGATGGGGCAACCTGGAGGCATCCCGTGGGGACTGCTGCACTCTGGCCAACGGCATTTCTGTAATAAATGATAACCACGCAAATCACTTCCCCTTTGTCTGCATTCGGCATCTGTTCTATCTGCTCAAAGACTGTCTCCTCATCACAGTCGTGAGCATGTTGGCCTGTGGACTTTATTGGTGACTAAATCGGCTGGCTGTGCTCTCAGTTTAACGAGCAGCAGTCCATCGCTTCTTTGATTAGTGTTGATGACGCTCCTTGCTGTTTCATCATCAGAATAAATATGAGCAGACCAACATGAACGTAAACGTTTACGTTTAGAAAAATGCCCAAAAATAAATAAGCCCACTTTGTTGAGCTGGCATTTGTAATGGCCAGGTTGCTTCTGAAGAATAAGTTAATACTCAGTGGAATTTTCCTGGTAGGATGGGGATGGTTTAGTTGTATTTGTATGTGTTTGGGTGATTTATTTACCTTTCTTGTATTTTGCACTCATATCGTGTTTGTGTGTGTTGTGTTTGTTGTTGTAACTTTCTTACCTCGTGCCCCGACTGGACATCTGTGATAAAAATCTGTATTGCTCATCGGATTCCACCTGCGGTTTAAAAAAAATATTTTGATTCTGATAAGTTCACTAAATAACTGAAGATATCTCTCAGAAGGAAACCTGTAAAATACGACAGAACGTGTGCCTAGGGCAGCTATTAATTGTGATTATGCTACATTGGCAATGCTGCACACGCACCAATAACTCAACACAATCGTAAATAACACCAACCCTTTAAGGACAAATAGATAATAGGTGACATTTTACGCAATGACCTTTCTTCGAAGCACATGACATGAAATACAATGCAATGACTAAGTAAATATAATTTTTAAGTTTATTGTATGTATCTTTTTGGCAACCCTGCAAGTGGATTATTTGATCATTATATTTCCAATGGTGATGTTTTTTGCTTTATTACGATAAATGTGCAATTAAAGTTTATTGAAACATTTATAACCATATTTTTTATCAAAAGAACTAAAAACATGATAACTTCCGCTTGGTGTAAATTGACATCGAATGAAAAAGCAACGGAAGTGGTGAGTGGTCGCTGCAGATGTACAGCAGGGGGCTCTATCCAAGATCTGGATACAGTGCCATTGGCGAGCTCCTCCGGCAGGCAAGGCTGCGTCGGCTGGGTCATGTAGTCAGCATACCCAGCTGCCGCATGCCCAAACAGCTTCTGTTTGTTCTAGATTTGAAGCTTTCGTGACTGCAAGGATTCATAGTCTTAGGTTTTTTCGGTAAAGTCACGTAGGTAAAACATTTAAATTAATAAAAGTAAAATAAATTAAAAATCACGACGTTTCGGAGGCAACACAAGCTTCCGTCTTCAGGTGGAACCGTCACAGCCACGACAGCTGTATCAAGTAAATGAGAGATTGCAGGAGCTACCACTCCATTTATATAATGGTTGGAGAAGGGGGGGGGGTAAGGGCCAAATACAGCACACTTTTTATTAATATGGTAAGGTGAGGCTTACGAGGGTGAGTACGGTTTGTGACTCAACCTGTGACAAGGAGACAACCACATTACAGGTTTACCATGTTTAGTGGTTGTCTCCTTGTCACAGGTTGAGTCACAAACCGTACCTCTCCATAACAAAGGCTCACCCTCTTAAGCCTCACCTTACCATATTAATAAAAAGTGTGCTGTATTTGGCCCTTACCCCCCCCCCTTCTCCAACCATTATATAAATGGAGTGGTAGCTCCTGCAATCTCTCATTTACTTGATACAGCTGTCGTGGCTGTGACGGTTCCACCTGAAGACGGAAGCTTATGTTTGGCCGGATAGAGGGACCTAAAAGGGCGCGGCACGGGCTGGAGAAGAGTTGGAGTGATGTGGACTTGCCGGAGACTGGTACCAGTGGTGTCAAGATCGGCCTCTGTGGAGGAGGCTCGTGAAGGATGCTACTGGGTAGTTGGAGGCAGTTTCCCTCCAACAACAACGGGGGGCAGGGGAGCGACGCTCACATCAACAAGCGTAGCGCTGGACCACTAAAACACAGCAAGTTGGCACAGTGGTGGACATAGGTGGTGCATCAGCCATTCATCTATATCAGTCAATCGTTGGCACCTGATTATGTTCTGTGGTCTCCTGTCAGTGAGCCTTCACGCAGCCTCGGAGTGCATCTGGCCTAGTACAAGCGCTGTGGTGACGTTATCGTCACTTCGAGGCGAATGGCAGCTGTTGTTGTAGGATCAAACGCCCCTACCCTTCTTCGTCTGTACCTCGCAGGCTGGACATGACCACGTTCAACCCTCCTATGCAGAAGCTCCGTGTCCTTAATCTGCAGCTCTTGAAGCTACCCAAGAGCATAAGCGAGGAGGTGGCAGATGTGATGGCGCAGCAGGGAGCAGCTGGCCAGTGATATAGCACACACACAGCTCACACACTGCACACACACAACACAGCTCATACACACAGCACACACAAAGTACACACACAGCAAACACTCAGCGCACACACAGCTCACACACTGCACACACACAACACAGCTCATACACACAGCACACACAAAGTACACACACACAGCTCACACACAGCACACACACAGCTCACATAAACATAACACACACACGATATTTGTAGAAAACATTCACATTAGCACTAGTCTCAGCTGATACACAAGCAGACGCATGAACAGGTTTACACAGACACGATTACATTCATACGCATATAAATATGCATCTACAAGCATGTGTACAGTGCCATGTCGTCATGCATGTGTAGTGCTGAACTTCACGCGACAGCTTCTTGCTTTTCCGTCGTCACTTTATTTCGCTAACACCATACAATTCAACATCGTTTCAGCATGCTCTCCGCTCGCTCGCTGCGTTCTGCCGGCCTCGCTCGCTCCGCTTCTCCGTCTATGTCGACTCTCCTCTCTGCTTCTCCGTCACAGTTCAGCCGCTCTCCCGCGGCTTCTCCGTCACACTCCAGCCGCTTTCTATCGGCTTCTCCGTCACACTCCAGCGCTACGCTGTGCGTCCCTCACTCCACTGCTACCCTATACTTCTCTCGCTCCACTGCTACCCTATAGTTTCCTCGTTCCACTGCTTCGGCTCCGACCGTCTTCATCCACTCCCAGGTGCGAACTCCCCTCAGCTCCCAACACCCCTGTATTTATGCCCGACCCAATTAACTCCCAATTAATTCGTTGGCGACCCCTTCGCCCCTAGCCCCCGCCGCCACCTGTCTCTTTTTCAATACTCCCCGGCGCCAGTTCACGACAACAACTACCAGCCAATCACGGTCCCGTGTCTTTAATTGCCCCCAACCTGTCTCTGGCCTGCCCCTTCGAGCCCTGGCAACAACGCTCGTCTTCATATGCCCCCACTGTACTCTACGCACACGTGCTCACAATCTCCCGTGCGTGGCGCGTGTTTAAACCACTACACATGTGTAATGAAGCAACTTCTGAGACACGAATTGTAGAGGGCTCCTTCTTAATTTAACGACACTGCACGGTCAAGGTCACTGAGTAACATACACACTGTGCTACGTATAACTGACCCACTAATATAGCCATATCGGCGATGTATAACTCCATAGCTGACTATACAGCGACGATGGGGACTCTATAGTGGATCGGTTATACGGCGGCGATGACGATGAACAGATGGAAGTGAAAACAGCGACGGCAGCCCAGAAACGAACCCCCACGACAACCCCGAACCCCCAGTTGCCTCTCCCATATATATCCCCTAGCATGGTCAAGCCCCGCCTCTGGCCACGCCCCACCTCTGGAACTCTCCTGCAGGTTATAGTAGTAGGTTTTTGCGCTTTTAAACTAGTACAAAACTGACACCTTTATTCAAGGAATCATGTTTGCAATAACCACAACACAAGTAGTCACAAAAGCAAAAAGAAGCAACTCTGATAATGATAATAATATGCACTGTCCTTGAAGTTGATTGGTTCACACCCGAGACGGCTTTCTTTAGAGCCTAGTCCCCATTGGTGTTGGACCAGATGACACCAGAAGGCGTACAACTCAAACACAATGCAATATCAGAGTATTGAGAGCTCGGGGTAAGCATTTACACTATGAGATCTCTTTTACCAGTGGCAAAATATAGTAGTAGGTTTTTACCCATTTAAACTGGTACAAAACTGACACCTTTATTCAAGGCATCATGTTTGCAATAACCACAATGCAAGTAATCAAAAAAGCAAAAAAAAAGAAGCAACTCTGATAATGATAATACTATGCACTGTCCTTGAAGTTGATAAGTCCACACCCGAGACGGCTTTCTTATCAGAGTTGCTTCTTTTTGTTTGCTTTTTTGACTACTTATGTTGTGGTTATTGCAAACATGATGCCTTGAATAAAGGTGTCAGTTTTGTACCAGTTTAAAAGGGTAATAACCTACTACTATATTTTGCCACTGGTAAAAGAGATCTCATAGAGTAAATGCTTACCCCGAGCTCTCAATACTCTGATATTGCACTGTGTTTGAGTTGTACGCCTTCTGGTGTCATCTGGTCCAATACCAATGGGGACTAGGCTCTAAAGAAAGCCGTCTCGGGTGTGGACCAATCAACTTCAAGGACAGTGCATATTATTATCATTATCAGAGTTGCTTCTTTTTGTTTGCTTTTTTGACTACTTGTGTTGTGGTTATTGCAAACATGATGCCTTGAATAAAGGTGTCAGTTTTGTACCAGTTTAAAAGGGTAAAAACCTACTACTATATTTTGCCACTGGTAAAAGATATCTCATAGTGTAAAGGTTATAGGAGCTTCCTGATTAATCCCCACCTCTGACCCTTGGCCCAGTTACGCTCCCCTTATGGTTGGCCGTTGTATACCACACCCATACCCGTAGTTAGCCCCCATGATTAACAGATGGCACCCTGTCACTACACATGTACACTAACATAGTTAACATGTACACAATGGCATGTAGTCATGTGAGTGAACTTACGCAGGGTAGCGGTCTCCTATAGGTGTTGACATCATCCAATTACTCACGAATTTAACACAGGGAAGACGAGTCACGTGACATCCTAAAGTCTCTGTTTAGCAGCTTTACGAAGAGATGCATTGCTGTTGCTCTGGAAACGAGGAGACCGATGATCATTAATGTTCGGTCGCCGTGTTGATGGCATTCTAACTTAACAACAGAGTGGGTCCACGTGAAGACTGCTTTCTTCCACTGCTCCTGACGCAGTTATCTGGGCTTGAACACCTGAATGTGAAATTTCAGTTGTCGTTCTGCATCTACATCAGCGGCCATATGAAATAAAGAGAACATTAAGAGACGCATAGAGAAGTGGTCCTCATGAGCACTACATGGGGTAATAATGATGGTGGCGATGATGGTGGTGATGATGAACAGATGGTGATGATGATGAGTTCTGGGCCCTTTGTTCGCGACCACTCTCCGAGTTGTCTATGCTACCTTGATGGAATGCCTCCTAATGTGTTAGAACGAGTCCTGAAACTTGTGTGCGGATGAGGGGTGTTGTGTGGTGAGTGTATCCCCCGAATATGCGTAGGAGGAGCGTCAGGCACAAAATCTTGTTTTGAGCTTGCGAGATGCTCGCTCGTTCACCACTATTGCAAACACTAGATTCTCTCTCTGTTGTATATGTCTCTCTTCTTCCTTGTCCCCATGTATCTGTGTCTCATTCTGTCAACGTCTCCGGGTCCGTTTGTGTGCAATGTCTTATTATCCTCATTAAATATCAATGTCTGTGTCTCAGTGTCGCCATACCCTTAAGTCCTCAATTTTCCATCCGTGTGTCCACATGCATCTGTGTCTATGTCTGCATGCCTCTACGTCTTCATGCGTATGTCTGCTTCTGTCTCTGTGCCTGCGTCTGTATGTCTCCGAGTCTATTTCTGCATTCCTCGTTGTTCCCACGTCTCCCTGTGACTTGGGTCTCTTGCGTCTTCTCACAGAGCTCTTGGCCGAAGTGCTCACATCGACATCGGACAAAGACTCCCCGGCACCAGAATTGTACCTCACACTCATCGAAACAACTGTGAGCGTTCTGATGAGCTACACAGACAAGAGCCCAGCGTTTGGTGAGCAGCACCAAGCGAGGGTGGTGGGGCACAACAGCACTGCCTCCAGCAAGGCAAAAGGGAGGAGGTCGGAGTTAAAGTGCATCGCACAAATTAGGGAGGCGCAGCGGTGATTAGAGGAGTGGAGTAGAGAGTAGTTATTAGTGGTGATAAAGGAATGAGAGAGTGGTTGTTAGTGGTGATAGAGGAGTTGAGAGTGGTTATGAGTGGTGATAGAGGAGTATAAAATGGTTGTTAGTGGTGATAGAGAAGTAGAGAATGGTTATGAGTGGTGATCGATGAGTGAAAGAGCGGTTATAAGTAGTGATAGAGAAGTCGAGAGTGGTTATTAGTGGTGATAGAGGTGTAGTGAATGTTTTTTTTGTGGTAATAGAGGAAACAGTGGTCATTCGTCGTGATAGAGGAGGAAAGTGCGGTTATTTTTGGTGATAGCGGAGTGAGAGAGCGGTTATGAGTGTTGATAGAGGAATAGAGAGTGGTTATTAGTGGTGATAGATGTGTAGAGAATGAGAGAATAGGTTTCTCCCTTTTTTCTGGCAACAAAACCTAAACCTTTTTACGAGCAATCATGTCTGCAGTAACCACAATACTTTTAGTCAGAATGCAAAAAAATACTCTGATAATATATGCATTGTCCTTAAAACTGATTGGTCTACACCAGAGACAGCTTACTTTTGAGCCTAGTCTCAAATGGTGTTCGACCAGAGGACTCCAAAAAGCGTATAGATCTAAGATAATGTACTATCAGAGTAATGAGGGCTCGGGGTAAACATCTACATCATGAGGCATTCTTTGCCAATACAAAAAATAGGAAAAACCTATTCTAATTTCAAGAACAATGCATATATTATCAGAGTATGTTTTTTGCATTTTGACCAGAAGTAGATATTGTTTATTAGTGGTGATATAGGAGTATAGAGTGGTTATTAGTGGTGTTGGAGGATTAAATAGTGGTTATTATTAGTGATAGAGGACTAGAGAGTTGTGATAAAGGAGTGAGAAAGTGGCTATTAGTGTTGATATAGGAGAATAGAGTGGTTATTAGTGGTTATAGAGAAGTCAACAGTGGTTATTCGTGGTGATATAGTAGAGAGTGGTTATTAGTGGTGATAAAGGAGTGCGAGAGTGTCTATGAGAGGTGATAGAGTAGTAGAGAGTGGTGATTAGTGGAGATAGAGGACTTGAGCGTGGTCATTCGTGGTGATAGAGTAGTAGTGAGTGGTTATGAGTGGTGTTAGTGGAGTGAGAGAGTGGTTATTAGTGGTTATAGATAAGTAGACAGTAGTTATTTGTGGTGATAGAGGAGTCGAGATTGACGAGATCAGCAAGGTATTGTGGTTTATTTGTGGCAAGTCCTTTGTGTGTAATGAATGTGACCTTATAATATATTCGTTCGGCAACCGGATGCCAATGCAGCTTGGCGAGCACTGGACGGACATTTTCGGATCTTGCAGTACCCCATCACAACAAATGCCAAATGATTTTGCACACGTTGAAGCTTGGTAATGTTTTTGCCATATGTCCCATAGAGTAGTGAGTTGCTGTAATCGAGCCTTGTCAATACTATGCTACACATCACGGTGTTGGCTATGCAACGACGTAATAGAGGTCAAATGTGTCTTAGAGACCTGATATAAAAATTATGTGAAAATTAACGACATATTCTGGTCAAGTGTGGTGCTAAAGGTCTTTAGATGACTAGAAAAAAGTATCCCGGAGACTGCGACTGCCACGCCTGATCTTCCCACACATTTTTTTGCCTGAGTGCCAACCAGCAACGACTCCGAAATTTCAGCATTTAGAATTTCGTGCAAACCACATATGCACCACTCGCGTGCAATCTTCGAGCTTACCGAGGCTCTCCATATCTCTCTGACTTCACCACTGTGTATAATTGTGTATCATCAGCATGTTGATGGGACTTGATGTCGTGCAATGAGATTACATCGGCGATTGGAGAGACGAATGTTGAAAATAGGAATGGCCCGAGGACATACCCCTGTAGTACACCAACTAGGCACGGCATAGACGATGACTGTTTATCACCCAGCTTGATGAACTATGATCGCCCATGTCGGTATGACTCAAACCACCCCAGTTCTGTACCCGATACACCAAACCTTGACCTTAGCCACCCGATGACTATCTCATGGTCGATGGTGTCGATGGCTTTTGAGAGATCGAAGCTAACCAACGCTTCAATGTTCTGATCATTAATGATCTTGTAGAGGTCATTGGTGATCTTTAGTCGAGCCATATAAGTGCTGTGGAACTTCCGGTATGCCGACTGCAACGGGTTGAATATGCCCATCGCAGCAACGTGGATAAGTGCTTCAGACACAGACGCTCTATGACCTTTGAAATCGTACTCAGGTTTGAGATTCGACGATAGTTTGCGGGGTCACTGTAGCTCAAGCCAACTTTTTTGAGGAGCAGTGTTAGCTGCGCCATTTTTAACCAGTTTTGGAAACAGCCCTCGCTAAATATTTTCTAGGTGGACAATGAGTGGCACGAGCACGTCCAAGCATGATTTGAGAATGGACGTGTGGATGTAGTCGAGCGGCGATGTCTTATTTGGCAGCCGTGCAATGAACATTAACACCTCTGCCATAGATGTTGGTGCCAGGGCCTAGAGTTTTGCATTGGTGCCAGGTTGATGAAACTCAGATGGCAGACCGGGAGAATGTATTGCCTTCAAGTTACAAACTGGCATCTTAATCGTCACTATTTTAGTGATATACTGTAGTTGTTTTTGTCAGTTTAACACGTAGGCTTTCGCGACCAATGTTATTCATAATCAACGTTTTTGGGTTTAGATCGCGTTATTTATAAACGTGTCGTAACCCTCCACCACCCGACACGGCCAATCAGTAAAAATGTGTCACGTTGACAAAGATAAATAGTTCACTGCTTTAGCCCACCGGTGTGTTGAAGCCACAACATTTACAATTTGAGTACGACGTTTCGCTGGTAATTGCAACCAGCATCATCGGGCAATTCGCCAGAATGGTGAGGCTCTGCTGTCTCCCGTTCTTATATAGAGCAGCAGCAGGGTGACGTCATCATTAACTCATCAACTCATCATTATGTTTACCAGCGAAACGTCGTACTCAAATTGTAAATGTTGTGGCTTCAACACACCGGTGGGCTAAAGCAGTGAACTATTTATCTTTGTCAACGTGACACATTTTTACTGATTGGCCGTGTCGGGTGGTGGAGGGTTACGACACATTTATAAATAACGCGATCTAAACCCAAAAACGTTGATTATGAGTTGTTTTTGTGCTTGTATTAGTAGTTGTTGTTAGTGGTAGTTCTATTGGAAAGTGGTTGTAGTGGTGCTTGTGGTAGTTCCAGCGGTTGTTTTAGACGTTGCTCTAGTGTTGGTGTTTTGAGTGATGAGTATTGCTTAGTCATTCACCCCTGTGTTCTGCTCCCGATTGTTTTGCTAGGTTGTAGATGCATCACAATAGCATAATTAGGCCATTTTGTTTGTCACCGTGCTGTGATGTGACGGCCGTGGTGTTTTACTCTGGTCGTGGTTGAAGTGGGTGCGATGTGGTTTATTTTGACGTTGTGGTTGATTTTGTGGTTGTTGTGGTTGATGTTGTGGTTCTGTTAGGCCTTGCTCTGGGTCAGTGTGGCATCGTCAAGTATCTCCTGGACATCATGAAGCACCAGCCACTGTGGGAGCGCAGCAAGACCAATTCGGTACAGGGACATGGAGAAACATAATGCGGGACACTTGGAAATATGAGGACACGGGAACACGCTGGCACACGGGAGCCATGTGGGTATATGGGTATATGGTGGAGAAGGTACAAGTATTCCTGCGAAATGATACTTTACTGGAAATTACTTAAATTCAACTCTAAATTTCCCATAGACATAATGTTAAAATCAGGGTTTGAGTTTCTAGCCGAGATTTCTGTCGTGTACAAGTACATGAGCACACACACAGTTTCAACGCACCGCACTCGAAGCAGCACAGAGTTCTGGGTATGAGTGGTGGCAGATTAAGGCGGTGGTGGTGGTGTTCACTGCTGGGTGCCTTTTGTGTCCCCAGATTGCACGCACTCTGATGGTGGTCACAATCTGCCTGCTGGCGAACCTCTGCCGCGTTCCGCAGAACCGCGCCTGCTTCCGGCAGACCAACGCTGTTCCCGTGATGCAGGAGCTGCTCAGGAACGACCGGGCGAACATCAGGATATCTTCTCTGAACGTCATCGCCCTTGTGCTTGAGGACAGCGACCTCGACCCCCTTGGAGAGACGGGTAAGTGACTCACGATGCGGATCGCTCGCTCACTCACCACTGCCCACACTCAACTCTCAACTCACTTTGAACTCACCTGCCAAAAATACTTTAACCAGATGAGCAATATTCAGTCGATCATCGATTATCCAGCAGCTGGTGGGGGGGGGGGACGCCGGACTTTCAAAAACGCCGGGTTATCACTACATCATCATTATTATTTAAAATAGATTATTTTGTACATTCTTGCATGACCTTGTGTTTTTAGGTGTTGTGTATGTGTTTTTTGTAGTGCTTTACATTCGTTTACCTTGGTGACATTGGCATAAACATTTGAATAGACAAAAACATATTGTAATGTAAAAATTGACTTTATTTACTCTACCCCCTCCAATCTCAAAGACTCTGCATCATGGGATGATGTAGTAGTACAACTATGCCAGACTGATGCAGTCTTTAGACTGATGCTCCAGCGAACGCTGAATTACACAATGCACTGTATATTTTCTGTTTTGATTAGTAATTAGTCATGAAGAATGTATATACGTGCAGTATTTTCATTGTTTAAGTTGTATGTGGTGTATAATGTACTGTATCGCCGGACTGGCTACAGCCTTTGGAGTTGTTTTGCCGGTTTCGCCGGATCGGCCTGGGACCGTTGGATAATGTTGGAAGAAGAATAATCGATGCTCAACTTTAAACGTTTCCGTTTAAAGAGAGAGAGGCACCATGATACCCAGGGACGTGAGGTCACCCCACAAAACAAGGAATGTTTAATAGGGTTTATTTTGAGAGATGTTAAATCAATAGAAAGCCCTAGTAATCTACCAATACATCTTTACGTAAACTCGACCAATGAAATAACTCACGTTGCCGGAAAACTTTACACAATTATGCGGCTCTTCCTTTTAACACTGCTGACTTTGGGCCATTCTGAAATTATGTGCGAGTAGTGGCAGAATTTTTTCATTGCTGTACGGTATCAGTTGTCATTTCGTAATCAACTTCTTTGGTAGAGTGACAGCCACAGTAGCTATGTGAAGTAAGTGTCATGTGTGGGCGTGGTGGTGGAAATGATGCCATTTAATACTGACTGTTTCTGAGAGGGCAGCCCTTTCTAGAGTGGAGGTTCTTGTGGTGTTTCCCCAATATACTCAGTCGTGGGCACAGGTATTCCCATCACTATGCCAGTGTGGGAATCATGGGGGTTATGATGCTACGTGATGGAAAGTGAGTTCTAATCACCCGCGTGTCTCATTACAGACACCATTAACGAGTTGCTCAAGACCATTGGTAGGCCCAACATGTTCGGCCGATACAAGAGGGTGGACGAGGTAATTTACCTGGCCGAGGAGCTGCTGGAGGCGCTGGCCATGCTGTCCGTGTGCTGGCCCGTGCGCAGGAAGGTGGGCCACTCGCACCGCCACACTGACGAGTCACCAGTGTGAGAGGTGCTCATTTTCAACATGGGAGAGAGAGAGAGGAGTTTGGATCGATTTTCACTTCCATGCAATTCCACCAATATTTGTGTAGGGCATCAATGCGGATTTTTAAGTGCGCTTTAACAGAGACAGAAAGAAGGACAATAACTAGATCTGGAATACAAAGAATCTTAATAAGATTTGGAATGTATTAACCATGCTTTGGTTCGTTATGCACTATTATCACACTATGCACAAGCACGCGAACCAACTTTGGCGGATAATAGTTTCTTGACAACCAAGTACAACGAACTCATCAACACTCTCAGGCGACAGTACCAGCACACATTTACATAACCCCGAGTTTCACAAGTTCAGCACAGCGACTCTGCGTGTTGACAATCACAGAACACTGCTACAAGAAAACAGGTACAGAACACCGTGCCGGCCGTTCACACAAACCCTTACACACACTCCACTCCTGGGTGATGAAGCAATTCCGCAGAAGCCCAGGGTATGTCATGGCAGTCTCGGGGCTCACGACAGCGCTCTGAGTGACTCCACGGAGCCGCAGTCCAGGCTACCGAGCCACCCGTACGTCAGCAGCTCCTCGCAGCAGCAGGCACCCCGCGGAAACCCACTGGCACCTGCGAACGCCAACCACCCCGGCCCCTCATACACTGGTAGTACTCACTTAAATACACAAATATGGTCCCGCCCTCACAACCACTGATAATCAACTTACCTCTTGTAGCCCCCCCCCCCAATCAGAACCCCGGAACTTCGTTACATAAGCCATGACTTTTTGTTGACCTCAATTTGCACCAATCACGCACAGCCCTGTCGACGACCACCCTCACCCATGCCAAGCGGCCTGCCCTGACTGGACAAGTCGTGCCCTACTGGGTCAAGGCCAGACTCCGTGGTGGCGCCTTGGCTTCCGGAGATGGGAGCTTTGGGGGATTTTCCCCCTATAACTACCTCATGTAATCTCGGCCACCCCACATCATCCCGGAGCGACAGCATTTGTCTGTACTGTTACAACTAACATTCACATTGGTTCTGGGCCTGTGCTATGCCGTTTGATTTGTCCCTTGTTCTGCGCTGTTGACAGTGGTGGGTGTTTCTTCATTTTAATAATCGCTTTTGTGTCAGATCATTGTCTGACTCCATTGCGATTCCATTACGAGTTTGCTCCCCTGTTGCTTCGAAAGTTAATTTAGCTAAACCTCGTGGAACGTGTGCTGGTCACGTGATGGTTCGCTCTCATCAGATCTATGAGGCGGGGGCCGTGGTTCCACTGGTCCAGAGCCTCAGGGAGGGACGAGCCAGGGAGAAGCTGCACGCGGTGATGACACTGAACAGACTCAGTCGGGACCCTGGCACCTGCTCACAGATGAGACAGGGTGAGAGCAACACTGCACACTGCATACTACGCATCGCATAACACGCAGTATATACGTACAGGACATACTCTGTGAGGTTAGGTACCCACATTTGGCATCACATTACAGAAGAGTCCACCAAGGTAAAGTATGGTGCAAGTCATAGCCAAGACAGGGCAGAGTAGTAACTTAACAAACCGGCATAGAGACCGATTTATGGGGTATGAGCGATTTATTGCAGCTCTAACCAATGCTGGAATATTATATAAACAATTCATGCACGCAAAATACAAAAGTGAACCCGTTCATATTCTTAGAATAGCTCTCCACTCATATTGTTGGCCAGGTCGAGTATTTCCTGCACACACAAATACCTAGTGAATACGCAAAGGCAAAGATCCCCATACAGCCTTAACAGACTGTTGGGGCAAGTGTTTATAGAGAGCATCTATGAAGGACGGAACGGGAACACGAGGGGTTGGTTGGCCAGCACCACGCCCGGCCGCCTTTGTCTCCCTAGTGGCGATGTTTTACACGCCACACCAGGTACTCATTTAAGCTGAGTCGATCTAGAGGAGGACCATGACCGGTTCAAATAATCGTCACTGGTGTTGGCCATGAGCGGGAATCGAACTTGGGTCATTGGGGTCAGAGTGCAGCGTGTTAACCAGAGGAGCTCACTAACGAGAATGTGTCCAGATCTTTCAAGGATTTGTGAGCTCATCACTTGGAATGTAATCCAAATACTCTAAACGCATGTTCCTAAACTTGGAGGGAAAAACCGGAGGACACGGAGAAATATCCACACGACCACGGTTAGAACATGCAAACTATAAATATACCCCCATCAGGCTTGGGATCGAAGACTGGTGAAGTATTGGAATTGACGGCAGGAACTTCTTGACGGGAACACACTTTTATTAAATCTTTACGTGTCACAATACAACGTGTGGTCTCCCTTCTTCCGACTACACACTCCACTAATCTCGTGTAAACTCTAGGCCTCTGGCTACACACGATACACTTCACTCGTGTAGACCCTATGCCTCTGGCTACACAATACACTCGACTCGTGTAGACCCTATGTCCCTGGCTACACACAATGCATTCGGCTCGTGTAGACCTTATGCCTATGGCTACACACACTACACTCGCCTCTGGGTTACACAGAGTCCCGGTCCCGTTAGGACAGCGGGACTAGGTACCGCAGGGCCCTAGGTCTTCATCCCCGTCTTCATTCTTCGCTGGTTACACACTACCCTTACGCCTGTGTGCATCCCCTTTTATAGCCCCTGCTCACGAGAGACGGAGCTGATGCGGACGTCGACGTGAGCATCGTTCCTTAGTGAACCAATCACGACGCACTCTCTCTACGATCCGTTTTCCCCAGCGCGTGTTAACACTCCTCCTCCAATCACACCGCGCTGCCACCTGATCACTCCCTCTCAGCGCGTCACCGGCCCACAGCCAATCAGTACCCCGTAACCCACGACCCCGCGCTGACCCCTGATCCTCCACCGTCAGCACGCGTCACCACCTACACAGCCAATCATTACGCGCTGGCATACGATCCCTAATCCCAGCGCGTATCACCACTACATCACCCCCTCCCACATAGCTTGCAGCCGGCCCGGCTGTTAACCAACAACACAACCTAACGTCAACGCAGTAATAAAGAAACTCCACCTCCCAGTGTGCCCCGTAACGCAACAACAACAACACAACACAACACTTAAATACGAAGCAATATACAGCCCGACGAACAATACAGTAAAAGCGAACACCGTAAAACGAACACGCCAAGTGTCACTCTGACTAAACGCAGTGCCGAGGCGCTCCGGCTGCCTCGACTCCTCACGTGGTAGGTCACACAAAGTAGCACGACCTAGCGCGAGTCCGTCTGGCCGGTCCGTCGTATGGGACGGGACGTTGGCGACCGTCCGGTGGCTCCGGCAGCTCTAGACGGCGCGGATCGGGCCTGGAAGGACCGGCCCCGCCGTGAAGATCCAGCCGCCGGTGGTCGGCAGCTGTCAGTTCCGAGACACCTGGGAGCGGATCAGGCGGAGACATGTGAGGAGCAGGCAAAGACAATTCCCCCTCAGGGTCGTCGGTCACGTCACATGCTCGGCCCTCACGACACAAGGGGAGGCCATACGGAGGCGAGAACGGTTTCAGTCGGGAGGGGTGGACGTACCAACGGCGTTTTCCCCATTTTATCTGAACGCACTGGGAGCGTGCAACCCGCACGACCTCCACGGGTCCCCGCCACGGCTTCAACAATTTAGGCGACGTAGCCAAAGGTGCCTGAGGGCAATGCAGCCAGGCCCTGTCACCTGGTTCCCAATTGTGCACGGACACCTTCCGTGCCCGCAACCGCTCGTTTGCAATTTGGCGAGCCCGCGAATTAAGCCGTGCGGCCTCCCTTGCATCTGTCAGCTTATGAATATTAAATGTAATATGCTCTGCCAATTTCGAATTAGTTTGTGGTGCGGGCAGACCCAGCTGCGTTTCCATGGGCGGGTCGGCTTCCCGACCGTACATTAGATAAAACGGGGAAAATCCCGTTGCTGCATGGGGGGCCATTCTATACGCGGCGAGGACCCCAGGGACCTGCAGGTCCCAATCAACATGTGCCTCACACACCTGCTGGCACAGCATAGAAGTCAATGTCCTGTTAAGCCTCTCCACCATCCCGTCCGTCTGCGGGTGGTACGGGGAGGTACGCACCTTCTTGGTACCCAACAGGTCGCACACCTCTTGCAGTAATTTACTCGAAAATTTTTTCCCTTGGTCAGTCAGCAAGCGTTCGGGAGCCCCCTTGTCCAGGACGTAGCCCTGGACAAAGGCGTCCGTCACAGCCGCCGCCGACTGGTTGGCGAGTGGCCACGCCATAGGCCACCGGGTAAAATATTCGACCCCCACCAACAGGTACTTATTACCCCTAGGCGTGACCGGAAAAGGCCCCAGAATATCGAGTGCAACGAGCTCATTAGTGCGCGAGACCTGAATAGATTGCAGCGGTGGATTAGCTGCCACGGGCGGTGGTTTCCGTCTGGCGCACTCAACACAACCCTTCAGAATATTCGCCACGTCACCCCCCATTCCCGGCCAATAATAGTCACGCTGAAGCAGGGCAAGCGTTTTGTTAACTCCCAAATGCAAGAGGCGTTCGTGTGTGGCCAAGACAACCTTCCCCCTCACAGCAGAAGGCACCACAATCGCATGCCGCCAGGACAAACTGTCCCATCTCATCAACAGGCCTTGCTTAAGCTCGTAGGAGCCAGTTCGGTCGTGGTTACCTTCGGAACCCCCCGTCTTGCGGCGCAATGCCAGCAGGGAGCTGTCCGCCATTTGGAGACGGCCCCACTCAATCAACGACAGTGAGAGCAGCGAGTCCTGACCCCCTGGGGTAGCGGGACCATCCCCAATTGGTGTGCTCGCGGTCGCAACCAACGCCTCCCTACCTTCCGTAACCGGCGGTTTACAGCGCGCCGATCCCGATAAGCACGCACATTTGTGACAAGGCAACAACCGCGACAGGGCATCGGCATTTGTGTGTCACAACCCTTTACGGTACGTAGTCGTGAACTGATAGTCCTGGAGGACTTCCAACCACCGCGACAATTGGCCCGAGGGCTGGGCGACCCGCAATGAATACTGGAGCGCCGCGTGGTCCGTCCGGACCGTGAAATGACGACCATAGAGATATGGCCTGAATTGTTGTACAAAAAAAACAATGGCAAGCAGTTCGCGACGGGTGACGCAGTAGCGCTGCTCTGCCGGCGACAACACCCTGCTACCATAGGCGACCACTCGTTCGACCCCTCCAACGACTTGGGACAGCACTCCCCCAATGCCCGTGTTGCTAGCATCCGTGTCTAGCAAGAAGGGACTCGCAAAGTCCGGATAGCGCAAGGGTGGGGCCCTAACCAAGGCGTCCCGGAGGGAGCAGAATGCAGCCTCCTCCTCCGGTCCCCATCGGAACTTCACTCCTTTCGCCGTTAGAGCGTGCAAGGGTTTTGCAATGGTGGCGAAGTGCTCAACGAATCGGCGATAATACGAAGCAAAACCGATGAAACTGCGCACGTCTGACACTGACGTGGGCGTCGGCCACGAACTGACACAGTCCGTCTTCGCAGGATCGGTAGAAATCCCCGAAGAGTCGACAATGTGACCCAAGTACCTCACGGATTTACGAAAAAGGTGGCATTTGGCCGGTTTAAACTTTAATTTAGCCGATCGCATTCGCAAGAACACCCCTCTCAATCGCTGGAGGTGTTCTTCAAACGTTTTACCGAAAACAATGACATCGTCAAGGTAAATGAGGCACGTATCCCACTGCAAGCCCGACAAAACCAATTCCATAAGACGCTGAAACATCGCAGGAGAGGAGTGAAGTCCCATGGGTAACCGGTTAAACTGAAACAGGCCCCCTGGAGTCCGAAATGCAGTCTTAGGCTTAGACTCTTCGTCGAGTGGCAACTGCCAGAATCCGGATAATAAATCAAGAGTCGAAAAGTATCGCGCACCAGACAATGCGTCGAGAGACTCGTCCATCCTGGGGAGCGGATACGCGTCGGCCACAGAGATCTTATTCAGGCGACGGAAATCGACGCAAAATCGCAGGGACCCGTCCTGCTTTTTAACGAGCACAATAGGTGCTCCCCAAGGACTGGAAGAAGGCGAAATAATGTCGGCTTCTAGCATATCGTTAACTGCCGACTGAACATGTTCCTTCTCAGCAGGACTCAGTCGGAAGGGATTTTGCCTGACCGGTGCCGCATCGCCCGTTTCAATGTGGTGGCGTAGCAGGTCCGTGCACCCAATGTCATACTTATGTTTACTGAAGACATCCGAAAATTCAATCAGCAACCCGCGCAGCGCACCCAACTGTACCGCTGACAAATCGTCAGAGTCCGCGCACAGCGAATCAACCCAATCGAGGTCCTCCTTCAATGTTACGTTTTTCGTGGGGCTCGGATCAGCCTGCGCAACCAGCCTCTCCTCCGCAGGGACCCGCGCCGCGTGAGCTAGCACGGTGCCCTGCTGAATGACGGCCGGCCGCGCCCCAGCGTTTAAAACCATCACAAACGGATCCCTGTCAGCCCCAACCAAAGTGTGAGCCACCGACAAATCGAGACCTCCAACAGCCCTATTAGAAGGACCCAAAAGCATGCCCTGTTCCGAGGCCTCCTTCACCCATGGCTTCCGCAACCGGAGGGGAATTAACATTTGTGAACCCGGGGGCACGTGCACGGTCTGTGTCGCTAACGCCTGTATGGTAGCGCACGCCGTCCGAATTACATTAGGGCTCGTCAAAAATGAAATACGGTGACCCGATGGTAGTTCAATGCAACGCTGATCAATGAGAATTTTGATGGGCATTTTTGCCAAAAAATCAGTGCCCAATAGACAAGGAACCGCCAGGGAGGACGAAACGAAAACGGGTCCCGACAATTTGATATCACCAATGCAAATGGACGCCCTAATCTGACCGATAATGCCCAACGATCCCCCGTTAGCGGCGTAAAATGGCACATCCACCGGAAGAAGCGGACGACATTGTACAGGGAGAATATTATAAATGAGATCCGATATAATAGTCGCCGATGCCCCCGTGTCCACTAACACCCTGACCTCGACCCCATCAATAGATCCGGTAACGACGGATGAACCCGCTGAGGCAGCCACTATTCTGTGCCCCAACTCCGACCATTTAATGTCTCCCCGGTCCCGGCCGAACCCCCCTCTCCGAACCGAATCCCCGAACTCTACTCGGCTCTCCCCCGCCGCAACGCGACGACCCATACGTGTCGAGTATGCGGGCCAAGCATGTGAGGTGCCGTGACTTGCCGGGGTTTGCAGGGATGACTTGGGGCCTTGTTCGTCATCCAGCCGAGGTCCCATGGCGCACTGACGTGGGGCGCGGCAACCGGAGGCCACGTGGCCCCGGAGGCCGCAGTTATAGCACGTGATGACAGTCGTCGGAGATCTCGGTTGCTCCAGCTTGCGGGCCGCTCGCAGAGGCGAACGACCCCCCGACCTCCAGTCCCCCGGTCGTCCCGCGATGAACGCCTCCTCTCGTGGGCTGACGACTTGGGGCACGGTGACAACCGGGCCCGGAGTTGAGGCCACGGCAGCGTTGCAGACGACCCCCTGTTTACGTTGAAGGACCTCGTGCGCTTGTATGCTCGTGGCGACCCGTAAGGAAGAAATATCGGTCTCGTCGGCCGTGTTGATGGGGACCCCCAGGTCCTGCGCCAACTTGAGCAGCTGCTCCAAAACCATCGCATCTTGGCCCTCCTCGTCCATACGAGGGAACGCGGCGTCGGCGAGAGCAAGCAACGCCGTGCGGTAGGCGAGCACGGTCTCCGTGTCCGCCTTCCGTCTTGCATAAAAATGATGGCGGCACGCCGAGGGAGGACCATAGACCTTGGCCATGAGAGCCAGCGCATCCTTGAGCGTGGAGCGGTCCGACCTGCGTGCGGACGTGAAGGCCGCGAGCGCGTTGTCGTCCAGCATGGCAGGCAGTGCCCGCAGTGCCGTAGCGTCGGACCAGGCGGACATCTCCTGATGCGCCAAAAATCTGCGCTGAAATTGGCTCCAATCCCCGCCTTCCGCCTTGAAGGCTGACAACGTGGGAAGGCGCTGCTGAAAGATGAAGTCGTCCTCCTCCTCGTGCTTCCTCTCTGCCGCCCCGTCGGTGTGTAAGATGGCGGCCCCAGTGGCGGGTGTGTGATGGCGGTCCGCCGCGCGCGTTGGTGACGTCAGCGGGCGCGCATGGAGAACCGCTGCCACGTGGTGATGGCCGTTCCCACCAAAAGTCGGTGCAGATGAAATGGCGGGAATCGCCAAATCGTTTTGGCGGGAATCTGCAGGGCGACCCTGTAGAATGTCGGCCGCCGTCCCCGCTCCTCCCGACGAGCTGATCTCCGCCAGGATGGACGCGGCGGCGAGCAGCAGCTCCGCCAGACGGGAGTGCGCCTCGCGGAGCACGGCGTCAGTCCCCCGTCGCTCGTCCGGCGCCGTCGGCGGATCCTGCCCCGTGGGCAACTCCTCTTCCTCACCCCCCGATGCCAGCTGGCCCGCGTCGTCGAGGTTGTCCCCGTGGTCAATCCCGTGGGTCCGACGGCTCCTCCTTGTATGCATGCTTGGAAGACCGTTTCACTTCTGACGCCAGTTGAAGTATTGGAATTGACGGCAGGAACTTCTAGACGGGAACACACTTTTATTAAATCTTTACGTGTCACAATACAACGTGTGGTCTCCCTTCTTCCGACTACACACTCCACTAATCTCGTGTAAACTCTAGGCCTCTGGCTACACACGATACACTTCACTCGTGTAGACCCTATGCCTCTGGCTACACAATACACTCGACTCGTGTAGACCCTATGTCCCTGGCTACACACAATGCATTCGGCTCGTGTAGACCTTATGCCTATGGCTACACACACTACACTCGCCTCTGGGTTACACAGAGTCCCGGTCCCATTAGGACAGCGGGACTAGGTACCGCAGGGCCCTAGGTCTTCATCCCCGTCTTCATTCTTCGCTGGTTACACACTACCCTTACGCCTGTGTGCATCCCCTTTTATAGCCCCTGCTCACGAGAGACGGAGCTGATGCGGACGTCGACGTGAGCATCGTTCCTTAGTGAACCAATCACGACGCACTCTCTCTACGATCCGTTTTCCCCAGCGCGTGTTAACACTCCTCCTCCAATCACACCGCGCTGCCACCTGATCACTCCCTCTCAGCGCGTCACCAGCCCACAGCCAATCAGTACCCCGTAACCCACGACCCCGCGCTGACCCCTGATCCTCCACCGTCAGCGCGCGTCACCACCTATACAGCCAATCATTACGCGCTGGCATACGATCCCTAATCCCAGCGCGTATCACCACTACACTGGTACCAGTGGTGCTAATATCGGCCTCTGTGGAGGAGGCTCATGAAGGATGCTACTTGGCAGTTGGAGAAATCCGCCCTCCAGCAAGAACGGAGGGCAGAGGAGCGATGCTCAAAACAATGAACAAAGCACTGGCTGGCTAAAATACAGAAAGTTAGCACAGTAGGGGGCACAAGTGGTACATCTGTCAGTCATCTCAGTCAGTCAACCTATGGCACCTGGGTCTGTCCCGTGACTGCCTGTCAGCGAGCCATTGACACTTCACTTGGCCTCGGAGTGCACCTGGCCTAGCACAAGCGCCATGATGATGTCACCAACACTTAGTGGCATATGTCAGCTGTTGTTGTTCTGTTAGTGAATGTGTTGCTGTGTCTGCATTTCAGAGGGGCAGCTCCACTGCCCTATATGGAGCACGAACCAGAACCAGCTGAGAGAGACAGGGACCGGATCCTGGGCAAGCGTGAGAACCATCACCTCCTATACTCCTTCTCTCACATTCTACTTATACTCTACTCCATTACATCTCCTCTACTCATCAATTCCTCCCTCTACACCTCCTATACCCCTCCTCTACTACTCCCCCTCATCTTATCCTCAGAAACTGTTGTGAGGCAGTCGCTTATTTTAGTTTTGGTAATAGATTGGACACCAACAGTTTGTTTCAGTTGAAGTATTTACTTGACATCGAAGCGAAATGTACAGCAAAACACTTCTCTCAACAACGTCCGGTGGAAAAAAACACCGATGTGTCTCTGTTAGCACCGGAGTTCCTTCATGCTTACGCCAAGAGTCCACGTTCGTGTTCTAACTGTGTAGAGAACACCCTGATCCTTGTCTAATACATAGGCTTTCGCGACCAACAATAGGTATTGCGATTTCTTGCACACATAAAAACGGCAGGATGAACAGGCATGGTGTGCATGCATAACGTATGAATATCCCAACTGGTAACGGATATCCATTGTAATTTACCTAATAACATTAACCACCCCCCACTGGCCTTCGTACCTGATTGGCTCACAAGTCACGACATCACATTTATCCCTCTATTTATGACTGAAACAGGAGGAGGATTTCTCCACAACTCTGGCTATTGCCTGATGATGCTCGTTGTATATACAGGTGAAACGTCGTACTCGAATTGCAAATGTTGTGGATTGACTCTCCAACACACCGGTGTGCTGAACTAGAAACGAACTGGCACGTTTTGTTCGCGTGTCAACCCTCACTATTGTCGTGTTCGACACCCACGCGATCATGTACAATGCCTCGGTAGTCGCGATACCGTCACAAGTCCGGTTGCTCCACCTCGTTGGCAACCGGACTATCGTAGTCACCACTGCAGGACAGTCCGATGAAAATGAATACCAACACTGTCAATAAATTCATCCCTTCTCTCACTCTGAATATTTACGTTGAGTTAGGCTCTTAAGACATAGGTAAATTGTTTTGTCCATTTTCAATTGCATATAGCCGCTGCATCAATGTGTCTAAGTATCTACAAATATTTTTGAAGGTATGAAGTTACAACAAAACAGAATCACTTGCACTTTCCGACCTGTTCGCATGTGAGGTCTCAGCTGAGCTGATGTCTCCTCCTGGCAACGTTGAATGTTACTCTCTGAATTGCTGTTCATATGGGTGAGGTTACATTACACACTTACAGTGACATCACTATCTCATTACGCTCTCATAGTGACATCATTCTCTCGTTACATACGGTGACGTCACTGTCTTGTTATACACTCACTGTGACATCACTATCTCCTTAAGCGCTCGAAGTGACATCACTATCTCGTTACGCACTCACAGTGACGTCACTATCTCGTTACGCACTCACAGTGACATCACTATCTCGTTACCCACTCACAGTGACATCACTATCTGGTTACACACTCACAGTGACATCACTATCTCGTTACACACTCATAGTGACATCACTATCTCGTTACCCACTCACAGTGACATCACTATCTCGTTACCCACTCACAGTGACATCACTATCTCGTTACCCACTCACAGTGACATCACTCTCTCGTTACGCACTCACAGTGACATCACTAATTGTAACATCACTAATTGTGACATCACATCCGCGTCCGTTTCTCAGGCCGTGTTCCGCATCGTCAAGGGGTTCATCTCGTGCTGCTCCTCCTCCAGAGCCAATGAGGTGCAGGCTCGGCTGGCAGGTAACAGTATAACCTAGGCAACAGCAGCCCCTAGGTAACAGGAATCCCTAGGTAATAGCAGCCCCTAGGCAACAGCATCCCCTAGGCAACAGCAGCCTCTAGGTAACATCAGCCCCTAGGTAACACCACTCTTAGGTAACAGCAGCTGCTAGGTAACAACATTACCCAGGTTAACAGCAGACCCTAGGAAACAGCAACCCCTAGGCAATAGCAGCCCCTAGGTAACAGCAGCCCCTAGGCAACAGTAGCCCCTAGGCAACAGCAGTCCCGAGGCAAGAGTAGCCCTAGGCAACAGCAGCCCCTAGACAAAAGCAGCTCCTAGGCAATAGCAGCCCCTGGGTAACAGCATCCTCTCGGCAACAGTGGCCACTAGGCAACAGCAGTCCCTAGGCAACAGCAGCCCCGAGAAAACAGCAGCCTGGCAGCAGCAGTTCCAAGTGCATATGAACAGAAGACATCTGGACATGAATAACAGAAGTGTACATTAAAAGGGTTACCCGATGGTATGTTGCATTGTGATACATGATTCTCAAGTTGCTTGTTGACTTGCTCGTGTTGATTACCCCGCATTGGTTGAATGGATGTTTGTTGCCGTGTGCCGTGGTTTGCCCTGGCAACCAGGCGTGCCAAAGTGGAACGAGGGGGACGTGCAGGCGTGGCTGGAGGAGAGCGGTCTGGCTGCCTATGGGAGGAACTTCACCGAGGTCGATGGAAGCATCCTCCACTGCCTCCTGGAGATCCGCCAACAGGTCGCACGGGGATGCGTGAGAGCACAAAGTGACACACAGCACAGAGACATGAGGACACAAAGTGACACACAGCACAGAGACACCAGGACACAAAGTGACACACAGCACAGAGAGAAGCATGATGGCACAAAGTAACGCACAGCATAAAGAGAGACATGAGTACACGTACGGTAAACACAGAAATTCTCATACGAGTTCAGCTGGAGACACGCACACGCGTCTGTGTCTACATGTGCTACATAATGGGAATCCAACACCAATGAGTGGAGTGTGGATTGTCTGGGACACGGGGACACGAGTTGAGAGAACGTGGAGATGCAGCCGCGTACGGGCAGTCGTCGGCACGACTCCGACTGAGGTTTGCGAAAACAGAAACCCCAACTTGCAGAGACTCCCTCACGGTAGAGACCCCAACCTTAGAGCTCCTCACCTCGTCACGCAGCTCCTCACCCAGCTGCTCACCTCGTCACCCAGCTCCTCACCTCATCACCCAGCTCCTCATCCAGCTCCTCACTTCCTCACCCAGCTCCTGGCCTCGTCACTCAGCTCCTCACCTCGTCATCAGCTTCTCACCTTCCTACCCAGCTCTTCACCTCGTTACCCAGCTCCTCACTTTCTTTGTCTCACATCTTCTCTTGCTGTCCCCAGGCCCCGGAGTTCTTTGCGATGGTGGCGCGCGACGTGGGCGGCTTCCACTGCCTGGAGGACTTCCTAAAGTTCCTGGATGCTGTCGAAAAACTGGGCTGACGGAAGTTCAATGCCCATCGGAATCCCACCACACAGCTCCCATGGTGAACACCACCCAGCTCTCACAAATCTCACTCACACCCCTCACACCCTCGCCCATCTCCACTCACAACACTTTGCATTGGGGGGCTCTGTGGTCAAAGCGCCATTGCTTGCCCAGCGTCTCACTACTGATTGCAAGTTGAGAAGTCGGGAACGGAGCACTAATGGGAGCTCAACCCCACACGTGATGACAAACACACGGCACCGCTCAACCACTCAATTACAAGTCCACACAAACCTTGACTATGCCTATATCCTGCCGAGCACTGGTGACTCTGCCATGCATGATCAAACGCACCTGTAACTCTACACCATGGCATTTCCACTACAGAGTAACTTGAACCTCTGACAGCCAATTGTGCCACATAGGTGACGCAACAGGTAACGGCTTGCTTAAGTCGTCTAACAAGTATTGGACTGAACCTTGAACAGGACCTGGATGGTCGGCTATAGTCACTAATGCTCATGAACAGGCAATCGTACTAATGCCTTCAGACAATAACAGTGATGGATTATAATGCGGGTAGCTTTGAATCTGAGATAGGACAACACTAGCACACACTGGCACATGTTCCACGATGCTCTCATCGGCTCGCATGCGATAATAACAAATGCTCATTTACATCGATTTCCAACGGTTGCCTGTGTACTTGGAGGTCATCAATTTTCTCCACCCTCTTCTTGTATCTGTTTTTCGGGGTTCCCTCTAATATTTGTGTCACGATTCTCACAGTTATTCACAATTGATCTGATCAGTGTTGTTTGAGGGCGCTAAAGTGGCGAGATGTTAACTATATCGCCTGGTATGCAGGAGATCGTGGGTTTGATCCTGATCCTTACCCTGACGCCTACTGTATTTTGGAGTTTGCATGTTCTCCCCGTGGTTCGCGTGGATTTTTTTTATGGGTCCTCACTTCTGAAAAAATAGCTAAATCGCTTAGTGGGCCTTACCTGGTAAAATAAACAAAATAGTTAAGTTTATTCTTGATTTGAAGCTTTTGTGACTGCAGGAATCCATACTCTTTGGTTCTTTCGATAAAGTCAGTAGGTAGAAAAAATAAAAGATGACGACGTTTCAATCGCCACACAAGCAATCGTCTTCAGATGGGAGAGAGAAACAGGTTGCTGAAACAAGTCCTTATATACTCTTGGTTATTTCGGTAAAGTCACGTAGGCAGAGAAAATAAAAATAAAATAAAACAAAACACGACGTTTCGGGCGCAACACAAGCATCCGTCATCAGGAGGGGACAACCACAGCGAAAACAATTGCTAAAGTATGCCAAAGAGATGACTGTGTCATGGGATTATATAGCTGAGGGGGGGGGGAGCCAGGGTGAGTGTGGGGGCGGGGCGTGGGCTGGAGGAGAGCGGCAAGTATGTTCCTAAAGCTCGACCTAAAGGGCGACCTAAAGCTGTGACACGTTGGGGAGGGGGGGGGGGGGTTAGGGGGAGAACTCTGCAGACTCGAAACACTGCACGGCAAATTTCCAAGTGATGGGAGTGAGCAGGGCTGGGAGTAAAAGAATGGAGATGCGGATATGAATATAAGCTATAAGGCAGCTAAGGTTTAACTTGGTTAATAACATCGTTCCAATGATTGCTCAATTTGAATCCATCTTCTCGGTTGAAGTTATGTCTATGTTTGTATATCTGGATGGCTTCATGGACAAATATTTGGTGGTATCCAGACAGCTTGCAGAGCACTTTGGTATCGGAGAAAACAATATCATGAGAGCCCACAGCGTTGTAGCAGTGATCAGCCACGGCGGAAGAGTTCATCCTGCCATGTTTCAAATCTGCCTTGTGCTCGCGAATACGGTCTAATACATGTCGTTTCGTTTCCCCAATATAACAATCACCACAAATGCAACTCAGTTTGTAGACTCCGGGGTACTGCAAGTCATGAATGAAATCCTTTACGGATGGGATCGGATCACGGATTTTGTGTACTGTACTGAATCGGACCTGGATCTTGTGTTTGTTTAAGATTTTGGAAATATTTTAGGTAACGCCTGCTATGTATGGAAACGTGATGGTTTTGATCAGAGTCTCAGGGGGTTGTTTGTCCATGGTTGGAGAAACAGCTTTGCGGATAATACGGTCCGAATATCCATTCATCTTAAGGGCCCGGTGTACATGTTCTAATTCACTGGCCAGGTGGTATTGGTCAGAAATGCAGCGGGCCCTATGGTGTAGTGTTTTGATGAGGGAATTCTTCTATGCCGGGTGGTGGTGGAAATCAGGTTTCAGATAGGAATCTGTGTGGGTGGCTTTCCTGTAGACAGAATGTCCCAAAGAGCCATTAGGCCTCCTCTCAAACAGAACATCCAGGAATGGTAGCTTGCCATCCTTCTCCACTTCCATGGTGAAATTGATGGATGGGTGTATGGTGTTAATGTGTTCGAGAAACTGGTTCAATGCTGGCAAGCCATGTGGCCAAATAACGAAAGTGTCATCCACATACAGTATCTCTTCCACAGGGAAAGACGTAGCGTGGATGTCTGGATTGCGTCTGTTTCAAATTTCTCCATAAAAACATTCGCTACCACTGGTGACATGGGGGAACACATGTGGGTACCCTCATTCTGTTTGTAGAAAGTACCATTCCAGGTGAAGTATGTGTGGGTAAGGCAGTGCCTAACCAGAGCGGGAACATCAGGGTTCAGTCCATGTTTGACCAAGTCTTCAATTATTGCTATGGTGTCAGGCACTGGAACCTTGGTGAACAGAGAGACCACATCAAAGCTGACGAGGAAATCATCCGGGGACAGTGAAATGTCCTTGATTAGAGAGACCAAGTGAGCTGAGTTAAGTATTGCTGAAGTAGTCTTGCCAGTGAAAGGAAGCAAGGTGTCAGACAGAAAACGGGCCAGCTTGTAAGGTAGGTGAGTTGATCGTGGACAAGATGGGCCGAAGTGGAGTGCCTTCTTTATGGATCTTGGGAAGACCATAGAATCTGGGTGGTCTAGCAGCCGAAGGTTTTAGGGAAAGCCGTTTGACTGGTTCGATTAGAGAAGTCGAACTGGTAATGATATTATTGGTTTTCATAGTTAGGCTGTTAGTTGGATCTTTATTGATTTTGGAGTAGCTAACATCATTGAGCAGGTCCTGTATGTTGTTGTTATATGTGGTTTTATCCATCATGACAGTAGCATTGCCCTTGTCAGCCGAGAGCATGACTATGTCATCCCTCTTTTTCAAATTTGCAGGTTCAGAGCGCTCGTCTTTGCTTATGTTGCTAATGGGTTTCTTAGCATTTTTGAGGATAGTGGCAATTTCAACTCTAGCAACGTCTGACTGGATGTGTCCCAAGCCTTTGAGGGCTACATCGACCTTATATATAAAGCCGAGAGGGGGAGAGGGGGGGGTCGGTTACATTGAGATTCTAATCTCTCGCAATACAATGGCAACCTCCTCAGCTCTCGCTGCTCTCGCATTACCCCCCCCCCCATCTCGGTTCCCACCTTTGGATTTCCC